CAAAATCATAGCATATGACACTTTTAACTCTCATTTGCTACATGAAAGTGTAGAAGTAGATAAAAATCTATGGAAGTGTGGAAGATCTGAACAACAGCTTAAGGACACTGCAACAATTTAAGCATATACATTCTTTTCAAGAACACACAGAATATTAAAACATTTGACCATTTCCCGGGTCATAAAGCAAGTTTCAAGAAATTTTAAAGGACTGAAATTACACAGAGTTCTATGACTACATTTAGGTTAGAAATCCATAACAAAAATAACCACATACTTGGAAACTTAGATCTAAATGTAAAATACAAAACTATAAAACTCCTAGAAGGTAACACAGAAAATATAGGTGATCTTGGGTTTGGCAATGACTTTTTTTGACGACACCAAAAGCACGATATATGAAAGAAAAAGAAAATGATAAATTGAACTTTGTTAAAATGAAAAATATCTGTGCTGTGAAAGACGGAAGAATGAAAAGATAATCCACAGAGTAGGAGGAAATTTTGGAAAGCAAGTATCTGATAAGGGTTGGCAACCAAAATATACAAAGAACTCTTTAATTCTCAACAATCAGAAAACAACTCAATTAGGGGCATCTGGCTTGCTCAGTGTGGGGGGGGCATGAGACATAGTCTCGGGGTTGTGGGTTCGAGCTCCAGGTTGGGTGTAGAGATTACTTAAAATCTTTAAAAAAACAAAACTCAATTAAAAAACGGGTTCTTTGAGGGGCGCCTGGGTGGCTCAGTCGTTAAGCGTGGGCCTTCGGCTCAGGTCATGATCCCAGGGTCCTGGGATCGAGCCCCGCATCGGGCTCCCTGCTCTGCGGGAAGCCTGCTTCTCCCTCTCCCACTCCCCCTGCTTGTGTTCCCTCTCTCGCTGTGTCTCTGTTAAATAAAACCTTAAAAAAAAAAAAAAAAATGGGTTCGGGCACCTGGGTGGCTCAGTTGGTTGGGCGGCTGCCTTTGGCTCAGGTCATGATCATGGAGTCCCAGGATCGAGTCCCACATCGGACTCCCTGCTCAGCGGGGAGTCTGCTTCTCCCTCTGACCCTCCCCCCTCTCATGCGCGCACGCTCTCTCTCTCTCTCAAATAATCTTTAAAAATAAATAAATAAAATGGGTTCTTTGAAAAGATGAATACAACTGATAACACCTTTTAGCAAGACTAAATAAAATGAGAAGACTAATTACCAGTGTCAAGAATGAAAGAGGGGCTATCATTAGATTCCTTAGACATTAAAAGGTAAGGGGATATTTAAAAAACTTGGGACTCCTAAATTCAACAACTTAGATAAAATGGGCCAACTCATGGAAATCCACAAAGTGTCAAAGCTCTAACTAGTCCCATAACTACTAAATAGATTGAATTTGTCTAAAATCTTATGAAAAAAAAATGTCCAGGTGCAAATGGTTTCACAGGAATATTCTTCCAAACATTTAAGGAATTTACATCAATTCTATACAACCTTGTCCAGAAACTTGAAGAGGCATACTTCCCATTTTATGAGGCCAGCATTACCCCACAAAAAGGAAACTATAGTATTCCTGACTAATCACTAGAGAAATAAATACAAATTAAAACCACAATGTCTATGACTCCACCCACTGAAGGCTAATATTAAACAAAACCACACCAAATAACTAAAAATACAAAGTCCTGGCAAAGATTTGAAACACTTGGAACCCCTCCTGGCGGGAATGTTGCTGGCAGGAATGTAAAATAGTACACCCACTTTGAAAATCAGTTTGGCAGTTTCTTATAAAGTTAAACACACTCACCATATGATACAATGATCTTAATCACAGGTATCTTCCCAAAAGAAATGAAAACCATTATCTACACAGCCTCGTATACACGTTCATAGCAGCTTTATTTATAATAAAAAAACTGAAAATAACTCAAAGGTCCATCAATTAGTCAATGAATAAACAAACTGGTATAACCATACAAGGCAATACAACTAAACGATAAAAAAAGCAACTAACTACCGACATTATGTAAGAACATGAATATCTCTGAAGCATTATGTTAAGTAAAAGAAACTGGAGACAAAAAACTAAATATGATTCTCCATTTATTGGAAATTCTAGAAAAGGCAAAACTAGTGACAAAAATCAGATCTATGGTTGCCAATGGGTAGAAGTAGAAGCAGGGGACTGGCTGCAAAGGGGAACAAGGGAAACTTATGTGATGGGAATGTTCTAGATCAAGATTGTGGTGGTAGCAATTACATGACTTTATACATTTGACAAAATTCGCTGAATTATACACTTAAATTGGCAAATTTTATTACATATAAAAAATAACCTCAAAGCTTAAAAAAAAACATGGAAATACATCAAACATGCTTTTCTTTGTTCAATTCCCGAATATTCTACAGAGGGTATATTGTTTTAAAATCAGAATAAAAATATCATTTAAACAATCAGCATATTATATGATTATACCACATGATCTTGACAATTACTTGAAAATAAATATACACAAACTCAGCTAAGAGTGGAAGGAAATTTACGATTTACTTTGGGTGAGGGGGTACTAAAATTCCTTCTAAAGCTTTTTAATAATCTCTACCTTTCAGGGTGGACTTTGTTTTAAAACTACAGTAAGAATAGAAAATTACTTGTCATAATAGGTATAAATGTATCTAGAGCTTTTGCCCAAGTTAATGAATTAGGAAGCACTATATGTACTCACTTTTCAATGGCACTTTTTTAAAGATTATTCAGTGGTTTCTGTTTTTCCCCCACTTAGTTTCTGTTTCAGGGTTGTTTTTTTTAAGAGTTAAGTCTAGGTATCACTAAGAATGGTGAGGCAAACAGATTCTTTTTTTAATGTCTTATTCCTTAAAACTGCTAAATAACAAATAGTTCTTAGATCTGGAATAAATCTTCCACTCAGTATATACACTATTTTGTAAACAAAAGAAAAAACACAAATAGCACCTTCAATCAAGATTTCCATCCTGATCAGCTGTACAGAAGATAGAAACTGGGGGTGACAGTGACTGCTTTAATCTCTTTCAACATGATCAGCTATACAGAAGATAGAAACTGGGGGTGACAGTGACTGCTTTAATCTCTTTCAACATGATCAGCTATACAGAAGATAGAAACTGGGGGTGACAGTGACTGCTTTAATCTCTTTCAACAGCTCATCCATTTAAACAATTCTTCAGGAACATTTTCCTCATTCTCATGGAGATTAAATATTGGTTTGGGAACATGGAACCAATTAACTAATAATCCCCTCTCCCTTTTTTTAACAGATTCTTTAAATGCTATCTTCCAAGACCAGTTTGGCCTGCTGTGAATTTAAACTGGAGAGTAAAGGCAAGAAAACACGTACACAAACATAAACACACTTATAGAGCAAACAGAACGTTAGGGTCACCTTGAGTTTAGGGACAAAACCACAATATTGTGATGACTCAATACAAGAATTCACTAAGAGATCACTTCTGGGAGACTAGCCAAGAGAATGGAGTTAGGACACACAGTACATTCAAAACCTTTAGAAGGCAAGGATAGGCTGACATACATTCCCAGAAATGGGAGAACCTGAACCAGTGATGTTACACAGATCATCAGAGCATTATCAATAAATCCCAGTCATTGTTTGATACTCTTCCTTCAGTTTCTCTGCATTTATTGGAAGGCACAAGAAAATGTTTATTTTTAAGGACGCAGCAGATGTTCTTCCTACATTTCTTTTTGCAGTATGTTCAGGACTACTACTCTTACACCTTTTGTCAGACATGTGGGTCAGACTGTTAGATCACAAAAGAAATGGTAGAGGGGCCCCTGGGTGGCTCAGTCAGTTAAGCGTCTGCCTTTGGCTCGGGTCATGATCCCAGGGTCCTGGGATGGAGCCCCGCAACAGGCTCCCCGCTCAGTGGGAAGCCTGCTTCTCCTTCTCCCTTGCCCCCCCTGCCGCCCCACTTGTGATCTCTGTCAAATAAATAAATAAAATCTTAAAAAAAAAAAATGGTAGAAACAGGACTTAGCAAACACTCACTGATGCAGACTATGTGTTTCAGTTGTTTAACTTCTGCCAAGTTAAACAAAATACACTACCCTAAAGTGGCTAACTCAATAAAGGAGGGTTTATTTGACCAAAATAAGTGCATGTGCAAGGCAGGTCTAGAATTGGATAATTCAGCAGCTCACTAGCACTATCACGAACTCTGGTGATTTACATTTTTCCACTTAGCCAACGTCATTATCCCCTGCAATCCTAAAATGGCTACAGCAGTGCCAGATTCCAACAAGACAATGTTCAAAGGAGAAAACTTCCTCCTCCAAGACTACCAGTGAAGAAAATCTTTCTCAGATGTCCCCTTGCAGATCTCTTGTCAGTTGCAATTGACAACACAGGTTTACATTCTGACGGCTCATCAGTTGTAAGGAGTAAGACCATACATAATTGGCTTAGAACAATCTGATTCACCCTTGGGCAAGAGTCCAATATCCCTGGGCACCAGGCTACACAGAGGGGGAACACTTGAACAATCAAGCAAATGGGGAGGGACAAATGGCTGTTGGGATAGCAATCAATGGTATTTGTTAGTCCAATAAGGCTGAAAACACTAGCCTATCACTCACTAGCCCTAAAATGACACTAGCTTCCGTTGTCTGAGGGTAAAACGGGACTCAAGAGCATGGAAATGAGTGTAATATAATGGACTGTTATAAAAAAAAATAAAATTCAGGGACAAATAAAAACTAAGATTTAGTGAGTACATTCTATGTACCAGACACTAGTGTATGCACTTTACATATATCAACATTTTTAATCCTCACAACTGTTACCTGTATTTTACTGATAAATAAAAAACAGAGAAGCCATGTACCTTGCCCAAGGGAGCTGGTTAAGTCACAGCTGAAGTTTGAACTTAGGTGGTCAAGTCTAGACTCACTTTCTCAATTGCTGTATTACGCTAATGTAAAAGGGGTAAAACATATTCTAAAAAGGTTAAAAAAAAAATCAAGCCAAAGGACAGAGATGTAGAAACCAAGCCAAAAAGTTAGCTGAGATTTATACACTGTACATTTTATTAAACACTGGGCTTTATTACAAATTAATTTACTTCTGAGGGAAGTTTCATTTAAAAATGTGGTTGTGTTCAAATTCTTAACTTGACACTGCTTTTTGCCTAACCATTCCCCCTTTACTGGTTTCCATACTCAGTCACTATGGGCAGAAAGATTAACTTCTCATAACAGAACAAAGGAATTTCTCAAGTGGTACAACACTCAATATATATAAGAGCAGTCCTCCCAAAGTGTGGACATGACCACAACAGAAAATATGATCAGAGAACATATTGTTTTTTATGGTATATTTATAATAGCTATAGATAACATTGTTAAATCATGCACACTACATCTTTACTACCTACTAAAGGTTTCTACCTTACATACGGTAATTATTCATGTCCCATGGTTTGGCATCTAGCCCAAAATTAAACTATGATGGAAAATGGCTGTCAAATTTTCAGACCATCACAGAAAAGTTGTCAGCTGTAATATCCATCCTGGAATCGTGGTGGAAAGTTCCTGGGACTTGCTTTTTCCTGTGTTTTGATCAAGTCTATAATAGCTGACAGTACAGCACAGTCTCTGGATTTAGTGTCTTTCCAATCTACAGGATGGGGACTTTCGATCTTCTCTTGCAGAAGGATATCTAGCTCCTTTCTTAATTCCTAAGGTTGGAAAAATCACTTATGTTAAACAAAGGCAGATATACTATTAAGCAATGTAATACATAAAAGTGACTTTAGCTGTTACAAAAAAATTTCATAAGCTATTATACAAAAGACTGAAATATTTAGTGAGCAACTAACTAAAGTATGGTTATGAGTAGCCAACTAAAGTGTAGTAAAGTTAAAAAAAATTCAAACTTCAATGACACCGAACCATTTAGAATGGCTGACCTATAAACACCTCAAAAAACAATTTAGAAAAGCTATGCATAAATTTCTCAACACTGTTTGCTCTGCTGAAATAGAGCAAGAAATGTTTAACACAACAGACATAACACTTGGTGCAAAACCATGAGACCACATGCTAACTTGCATGTAGATTCAAAGACAATCATGTAAAGTCAGTCACCTTAACAAGATAGGCAATTCTTGCTGGAGACTGAAAGACAATCCATTCATCTACAGCAATAGTCTCCTGATCGTTATCCTTCTGGATGGAAATATCACCTCCAAAGAATAAGAGACAGTATGGAGAAACTTCTGTGCAGTCATATAGGTATATCTGTAATGAGAATTAAAGGATATTAATACATTCACAAGTCTGCAAGGATTACTGCCACATTAATTCACTACCACCAGTATTGATCTATTAATTCTTTCCTTCTAAATTAGGTATTATCCTGCCAGTATAACTACCGAGACTAATTTTGAAGACATACCACTTATTTTTTAAAAAGATTTTATTTATTTGAGAGAGAGAGGGAGAAGCAGGCTCCCCTCTGAGCAGGGAGCCCGACACGGGACTCGATCCCAGGACCCTGTGATCATGAGCTAAGCCAAAGGCATATGCTTAACCGAATGAGCTGCCCAGGCACCCCAAAGATATACCATTTTAAACTGGCCAGTCTTCATTAATTCAGAGAACACAGGAGTTTTTATATTCTTGTTTCAATTCAAACAATAGCACTATACTTTAAACAAAATATTTTCTGAGTAACAAGAAGAAAACACTAATGTATCTGAAATTATTTATCTATACATGAACAGAACCTCACTCAGTGTTCTGACCAGTACTTATAAAATGCCAGTATTTCTTGAAAGCAGGCTCTGAAGGAAAACTATGCAAATCAAATAACTGTCCCAACTAAAATACAAAGTCCATCATGACAGACATGCTACACATTAAAAGTATAGATCTGCTTAAAGACCTTACAATTCATGTCAGAAAAAAAAAAATCTCAGAATAAATTTTATTTTTAATTGTGAAGAGTACACAATAGTAAAAATACAGCAGGACTGATGTTCAGATCCATACTTATTTTAAATATTCACTTACACTACTTGTTCTCATCTTCAGATGATAGATAAGCCAGTTGTAATGAAATTCTGTTTGCTCCACATTAACAGATTTAGGATGAATAGCAACTAGTCCATCAGTTTTTGTGTAAACTTTGACCCTTTAAAAAAGTAAAATGCAGTTTGTTAAAAAAAAAAAAAAATCTGGGAGATTCCCAACCAATCCCAGAATCTAAAAAAAAAATTCCACAGATGAGGCCAGTTTATTTTTGTAATACAAATTTACAAATCTGTATTTGAGAATAAAACAATTTACCTCAATTTCTAGGAGTCTTTAATTAATATAATTGAGCAGGAAGATGTTTGATAGTTTATTTTATTTTTTTAAAGATTTTATTTATTTATTTGATAGAGAGAGACACAGCGAGCAAGAGAGAACACAAGCAGGGGGAGTGGGAGAGGGAGAAGCAGGCTCTCCGCTGAGCAGGGAGCCTGATGCGGGGCTCGATCCCAGGACCCTGGGATCATGACCTGAGCCCAAGGCAGACGCTTAACGACTGAGCCACCCAGGCGCCCCGATAGTTTATCTTTAAATAGTCAATGGTAACTACCTGTATTAAATGACAGCATAAAAGCTAGTAATCCATTAATCCTTCAGGCTTGTTTTTAAGAGCATCTTTTCTGTAGTTCTAGGAATTCATAAATGCTTCTAACCAAAATCATGAATCACAGTCATGAGTCATTATTCAGAACAAAATCAGGTTTAATAGCATCTCTGGCCTGTATCTTCTAGATGCTAATAGTACTGCCCCAGCTATAACCACCAGAAATGTCTCCAGAAACAGTCAAATAAAATGTCCCTTAGCAGGTCAAGTCATCCCGAAATGACGTCCTAAAACAATGTCTGCACTTGGTCTACTTGAGATCTAGTACTTTGTCATGTTTATAATCATAGGGTATCCAAACTTTTTCATTTAATGTCAGTTAGAATTATTTTGTTACTACACAGTAACTGTTTTATAAGCCTATGAGCTTAAATGCCATTATAATATATTATCAAATAATCTCCCCACTGCTATTGGACATCTGTGTTCTTTACAATATAGCTTTTTAAAAAAGTAGAGAATTACTTCCTTAGGACACAGTGCTCAAATTAATATATTCACTTATGAATCCACTGAGCCACTATTTTAATGTCTTGATAACTGATTCTAATCTAGGGTGCCTTCTAAAAGGATGGTACCAAACTGAGGGTTCTAGAGGGGAGGGGGTGGGGGAATGGATATTAAAATGGGCAGGTGATGGGTATTAAAGAGGGCACGAACTGAATGGAGCACTGGGTGTTATATGCAAACAATGAATCATGGAACACATCAAAAACTAATGATGTAATATATGGTGATTAACATAAAAAAAAATAAAAAAAGGATGGTACCAATTCACATACTACCAGTCATTTGAGACTTTTAGTTTCTGTTTCCTCAGTAGAATGAACTCACTTAGTAGGCAAAAATCATGCCTAACAGTCTGCAATTACTACTGAGAGTGTGTGTGTGTGTGTGTGTGTATTTTAAAGTTATATCTTATTTTTCAAAATAGAGAAATCACCATTTTCATCAGAGGTAAATTACAAAATTATGTGTCTTAGAAGAAAAGAAATCCTAAAAAAATCTTCTCTAAGTAATGTCCATCCACTGATTTTTAATAGTTGGCTTACTTTCCTAATATTTACCCTAGTATTATATTTTGCTAACATTTTTTGTGAATAATAGCTGATGCCAGATAATGTGCTGTGAAGGAAAGTGATGCCCGTGTTCAACAGTTTGCCTTCTCTTAAGTGATCAAAAGAAGAATATGAAAAGCTTAAGGCGAGAATCAAGTAATTCATAATAATCTTCAATGCTTACATTTTTCTTTTTTTACCCAAATTTAGTCGGATTTTAGCAACTTTGGGATATAAACCAGCACAGATAACGGCTTTAATTATCTTCTCATTATCTATTGAGGGTAGGAAGATAGAGGAAAAAAAAGTAAAATTACAGATATAACAAACAATGGCAGCAAGCTAATTTTTATACTATTTTCTGCTTTACCTGAATTTATATTAGATTTTGGATCTTTAGGATTTCTACTGCTTACAAATCCAGCTCCAAGAAGATGCTCAGCAAACTGTCCTTTCATGTTATGCAGCATCTAGGGAGCAATGGTAACAAACAGAACTAGAATACCTTTCACAAAGATTTATAGGGGCTATAAAGCATATACTCATCAGTAGCTTTAAGTTTTCCTTGCTTTATAAAACACTGGCAAAAATGTGATGTTTTTAGAGCAGGGGCTGCCAAAACCTGTTTTTGTCAATGAAGTTTTACTGGAACAAAGTCACACTCACTCATCTATTATCTACGGTTACTTTTATACTATAAAGGCAGAAGTGAGAGACCATATGGCCTATAAGCCTAAAATATTTACTGTCTGGTTTTTTTACAGAAAAGGTTTGCCTGCTATACGGAATAACCACTGATGTTTTACGTACTGCTACATTTTGCAAAAAAGATTCACTAATATAATTTTAAGTTATTCTCCACCCCATATTTTGAAAAAAAAATTCAGAAAAGCATAAATAAAATAACCAATATCCATATTTCTACTGCTGAGAATTAACTGCTGTTACATACTGGCACAAAGGCTTAAGGTCTGTTTTTTTGTTTTGTTTTGAAGAAGAATCATAATTTGAATACAAATGATGCATGGCTCATTAAAAAGAACACAAGTAATACAGAAAAGTACAAATGAAGAAACTTCTCTAAAGTCAGTACTGTCAGAAGTAACCATTAACTAAGTAAATAATACTGAAGACACTTATGCATACTGACAGAAGAACTGGACAGAAATGCTATCCTAACAATGGAATAACAGTATAAAAGCTGTTTTAACAGAAGTATTAAAATTAATTTTAGTTCAATTTTTGGGGCTGCTGGGTAATTTTAGTTCAATTTAAAAAAGAAAGTTAAATAGGAATATAAGTTAAATTGATGAATCCTAAATTTTCACAATCACGAGATAATACAAGATCCTTGTAAATTTAAAATAAGAGATTATGAAACATAAAGTTGGTCTTATTTAATTGTACGTCCCTTTTATGAATTGTCTTAACCTTCCTACTTAATTTCTTTTACACTGACTCTCTAGACCACCTCCTGTTTTTTATTTTCATTACTTTATACTGTTCAAGACCATAACCTTTATATTCTGTGTCTATAATTCCAATACTGTTTTGTATTCATTCTATATTTAAATATCAACACACATCACTCACTGATTTAGCATGTACTCTCCATTCCTGAAATTCTTTTTGATTTATCTCTTAATAGGCAGCATTTCACTGTCAGTGAGTTTTCCAAGAACAGTTCATGGGTGTAGTATTTCAAGCGCTTTCTTGAATGCCTGGCCTGTCTTTATAGTTGAATTAATATGCTGACTGGATATAATCTCTTGGATTCAGCCATCTTTTCATACTTGTAGTTCATTTTATTTTTTCTATTTCAGGAAAATGTTCTTACACATATCTCTGAATAGATTACACTTGAATTTCCTACAGAGAGACATCTATTGTCTCTGATGGATCAGTCCTGTCTTCCTGTCTAACAAGCTTTTTACTTACTGCTTTAAATTTTTTTCTTTTGCAGCTGAACCTACAAACTGTGATTATCTAGAGCCTTTCTTCTATGCAATACTTTAAAGGGACTTTCACTTTACTCCTTGTGATTCTTTTGGTCATCATGTCTTCTTAGGTCACCAGTCTTGTCATCCATTCTATTGGTTTATTTTATCTTTGTTTTACTGAATTCAGATTCTTCTTAAACTGTTCCTTACTATGAAGGAGTTGTAAGGTATTTTCTTGTGAAGTATGTTGTGTTCCTTTCTTTTTTCCCTTTGATTGTAACTAACTTTCAGAATTTTCTAACTCTTTATTTTGTTAATGTTTGAGCAGTTTTGATTAGATTTGCTAGACACTCTAGATTCTTGATTCTTTTACCCCCTTGTAGATCTGTTAAATGTCCAGTACCAGGGCTCATGCCACAGAGCTGGAATGTACATGAATAATGCAAAGTGAGGAATTCCTATTCTTACACTTTTCCAATTCAGTGTAGTCTTAAGTCTGATGTGTATCTGTCCTATTTATTATCTTCTGTTTCACAAATGCCTCCTAGCCAGTGTTTTCTCATGACACTAAACAGTTAAAGATAACCTACCCAAAAGTTAAGGTACAGATATTTAATATGTTAAAATGTAAGATACTATTTGGTATTTTAAAATAGATCCTAGAAATATTAATGAAAATTTTCAGGCTGAGTCACCAAAACAGCAACTAGAGGGTAGGGGCAATTATACAAAATGATTACTTTGTACTATCATTTAACTTCATATGGCAAACTCACACAATTAACATTTTGCTACAGATCGAACTACACAAAATGGGTACACATATAACGCTAACATATTTGGGAATCACTTCAAAACATTCACCATTACCTGCAATGTGTTTGAAGACAAAAAATATTCCCAGCAATAGTCTTTTTCATATCTGAAACCACGTCGCCTAGCTTCTTCCCAGCCCTATGGGGCAAAGAAATAAAGAAAACTATATTGTTCCTCAAAGCAAAGATGCTTACTGGTTTGTCTTTATTTTGGTAGTAATTTAATCTTTTGGTATTTCATTTTCTTTGTAAAAAAAATTCAATGAATTTTGAAATTTATAAACTAAACAAAAACAAAACCCCAACTCCCCATGATTCTAGTTGTGAAGTGATAGTTATCAGTGAATTTCCAGACCCTTCTTCATATAAATAAGTTCTATAGTAATATACTGTGTATTTTATACAAAATGTCAACATGGTATATAAAACAAAAAGAACACTCTGTCGGACAAATTCCAATGCTATTGTATATTTTTAACTTAATAAATATATATATTTTTTTAAATAGAGAAGGGAAGATGGGAAAAAGGAAAGTTATTACTAGATGAACTCAAAGTAAAAAAATATTAACTTTTGCACAATAGGTAGTACAAAACTGGATCTAGAACTATAGTAAAAAGATGTTATCTCTAAAAACCAAATTACATCTAAATTTTGCAAAGATGGGTGATAAATGTTTTCCTCAAATAAGCATGACTTTTGGAAGGAGAAATGATCTCTCTAAATAATGTATATGATTATGATACTCTATCAAAATGTTATAGTTTATATAGTTTATAACTACAGTTATAGTTTATTAAATAGAATGAGACCATCTTTCATGAAAGTCAATAACACAAAGATACAAATGAATAATATCAGATTCCTGAGATCAACTGTTCACTTGTTCTGTTATCAAAACAGACTTTTTTTCCCAAAAGGGTAAATGTTCATGAACTACCAGAAACTGAAAAATCATGTACAATTTTTTTGAATGTTCACCTAATTTTAAATACTTAGTAATTTAATCCTGATACTTATAATAAAACAGATTTTAAAAAGTGAGTATGTTCCTCTTCTATTATCAGCTTTTTAACCGAATGAACTATCACAATCTAGGACAAGTCATTTTTTACCTCAAATGCATTTACAACTGTCAGGTGATCACTTTTAGTGTCTTTTGCCAATTCTTTTCTTCTTGCATCTGCAATCTTTTCTTTGCCCTTCAGAAAGGAGGGGGAAAAATAGATGAAGGCAACTGAAATTGCCTTGATGGTAAACACAGAAAGGCATGCTAATAAAAAGCTAATGAAAAATGATCTAAGCAACAACTATTCTGTGTATATAAAAATGCCCGGCCTTTTATTTGTAACTTTCTTACCAGTGGAATGACAAAGGGATCTTTGAAGCTGAGACTAGCAGCAATGGTGAGTACTGGATCTAAACAACAGAACAGAGCTCCGAAAAGAATCATTTTCCCAATGTGTGGCTCAACTGGTAATCGTGCTAAATGGACTCCAAGGGGTGTCAATTCTTCTTGTTTATCCAAAGCATTCTGTAAAGCAAAGATTTATGTTTAAATAGACATCGTAAAGCATCACATTCAAAGCTATTTCAGTTTCCTTTAAAATAAATAAATAGAATCCTCACTCTCTTAGGCCCAAATGCCCTAATATTGTTCAATATTGTTTTATTCATCAAAACATAAGTTCTGAGGTCAGCAAAGGTTAGAAACTCAGATAAAAAAAAATCCACAACCCACTTTACTCCAAATGTTAGGAGAGAAATAAGAGAAATACCACATTAGCAAACCTTTAATCAAATAAAGAAAATCACCCACTAGACTTGTGGGAAAAAATAAAAAAAGACAAGTATTATATATTTGGAATATATAACGCAGAGCCTTGATTCTAGTTGTTTAAGAGACATCAGATAGGTAGGCAAGAAATAATGGGCATATCTAGAACACTGAAAAATGGGGGTAGACTACTGCTCTGATTACCTAGGTAATTTGGTCCCATCATCCTACTGAGCATAACTAGAAAAGCTGCTTGAATACACTGAAGAGTTAAAAAAAGGAGTACAAGAATTATAAATCTAGAATTTGGGGGGAAAAAGAAGTCCAGGGAAGTGAGCCCAGCATTGGGGCTTCTTTTCCTGGCAGAAGCAACAGAAATCCTCTCTGGCCAAAGTTATCACCATCCCAGGCTTCAAATTTGTATCTACAAACAATTCTGTAAATACAATATCCAGTATACAATTAAAATAAGTATACAAGATATCAACAAAAAATAAAAAAATAAGAACTAGGTATCCCATTAGACACAGACTTCTACTAAACATTTATGGCAGAAATAACCTTAATCTTACAAAATCTCTTTCAGAGAATAGAAAAACGAAAAATATATAATGCTCCCAACTTGTTTTTTTGTAGCTGGCATCATCTTGGTACCAAATGTGACAGGGACATTTGGAGAAAGGAACACTACTGAATAATCTTATGCATGAGAAACCAAAGCAAAATAATGGCAAACTGAATCCCAGCAAGTCAGATTTGTTTGAGGAATGAAAGTTGGTTTAACATTTGAAAAATTAATGTAACCCAATACATTACAAATTAAGCAAGAAAAAAATCATATCATAATCTTATCAGAGGCAGAAGAGGGATTTGACAAAATCAACTACCCATGCATGATAAAAATTAAGAAAAGAAACTTCCTTATTTTGATAGTTTCCACAAAAAAAATCTTCAATAAACATGCTCAACAAACTGTTGACAGCTTTCCCTTTAAGAACAGGAACATTGGGCACCTGGGTGGCTCAGTTGGTTAAGCGACTGCCTTCGGCTCAGGTCATGATCCTGGAGTCCCGGGATCGAGTCCCACATCGGGCTCCCTGCTCAGCAGGGAGTCTGCTTCTCCCTGAGACCCTCTTCCCTCTCGTGCTCTCTATCTCTCATTCTCTCTCTCTCAAATAAATAAATAAAATCTTAAAAAAAAAAAAATAAGAACAGGAACATAAGAATGTACACTATCATCCTACTTCTGCTCAACATTGTACTAAGGGTCCTAGATAATTGCAAAAGGATATATAAAACTGTATTTATGGGGCACCTGGGTGGCTCAGTCAGTTAAGCATCCAACTGTTGATCTCAGCTCAGGTCTTAATCTCAGGCTCATGAGTTTGATCCCTGCATTGGGCTCCACCTTGGGAATGGAGCATACTTAAAAACAAACTACTTACAGACATAACTGTGTATGCAGAAAAAAATCTACATATAATTATAATAAGTGGGTTTTAGTGACTGAATACAAGATCAACATTCAAAAACAAATTTCAGGGGCTCCTGGGTGGCTCAGTTGGTTAAGTGCCCGAATCTTGATTTCAGCCTAGGTCATGATCTCAGTCAGGGTTGTGAGATCAAGCCCCACGTTGGGCTCTGCTTGAGATTCTCTCTCCCTCTCCTTCTGCCCTTCCCTCTACGTGTGCATGTGCACACTCTTACTCTCAAATAAATAAATTTAAAAACAAAACAAAAACCAGTTTCATTTCTGTGTATCAGAGTCATAAGAAAATGAAAAATCTGTTATGGTAGAATCCAAAAATACCACTGAGAAATGAATCTTTAAAAACCTCTCATAAAACCCTTACACAGAAATACCAAAATACCCAGAGAGATTAAATACCTTAACAAATGGGATAAATCGTGTTTCTGTTTGGTAAGACTCAATACTTTTAATTAAGGCAGCATGGAATTGGTTCAACAAAGACATACAAGAGCACTAAAGCAGAACAGAGTCTACAAATCCAGACACTAGATCTAGGACAAAAGCTGTAGAACAAAGAGGAAAGGATGAACTTTTCCATAAATAGCATTTAGTCAAGTGATCTACGTATGTAAAAACTTGGAGTCCTACCTGACCAAACACACACATACAAATCAATTGCAGATGGATTAAATATCTAAATGTGAAAGACTAAACAATAAAGTTAAATATATCTTCATGGCTCTGGGGTAAGGATTTACTAACATAAGAAAATATATGTGACTACATTAAAATTAGAAATTTATCAAAGCACTTTTAAAAAGTAAAAATACAGACACATGCAATACACAGCTGTCAAAGGCTCAGATCAAGAGTACACAAGAAGCATAAAATGAACTCCTTACAACCTAACAGAAAAACAGGCATCAATAGTTTATAAAAGAGGCTATCCAAATGGGCAATAAACCTATGAAAAGTTGTTGGCAAATTCATTATGATAATGCAAATTAGAACTACCACAAATTAGAACTACTGCAAACCTACCAGCATCCTCAGAATAAAAGATTCCCAAGGGCTGGTGCAGCTTCAGAGCAATGAGGACTCTAACCTACCACTGGCACTGGCAGAATTTAAAGTGGTTCGACAACTTTGGAACACTGTTAGTTATCTACCAAAGTTGATATATATATTTATATATATATAAATACACACCTTGAGAGTCAGTGAATTCACTCCTAAGTATATGCCCATGAAAATATATAAATATGTGCACCAAGAAAGTGAATACTGAAGATTACACATACCAGCATTATATGCAATAGCCTCAAACTGGAAATAAGCAAAATGTCTTTCAGTAGTCATATAATAAAATATGGTAAAGAACTGAAATTCAATAAATTTCAGCTAAAAGCAATTATGCAGATGAATTTCACAATATTAAGTAAAAGAATCCAGAACCCTGTTCCCTACTTCAAAAACATCCCTTATATCCTGTGAGTTCATGTAAAGTTCATGAAATAGACCATATTAAACTAAGTTCTTTATAGAAATGACACTTATATGGTAAAGCCATCAAGAAAAACATGCAAGATATTACCATTAAGGTCATGATAGAGGTTATCTTTGGGACTGAGGGACAGTGGAGTGATTGGGAAAGGGTAGGATGGGGACCTTTTAGGATATTGGGAATGTTCTTACTTCTTTAAAATGTAGGCTTCACACCAGCAGAAGGAAAGAAATAAAGATTAGAACAGAAATAAACAAAACAGAAACTAAAAAAACCCAGTAGAACAGATCAATGAAACCAGGAGCTGGTTCTTTGAAAAAATTAATAAAACTGATAAACTTCTAGCCAGGCTTATCAAAAAGAAAAAAGGCCCAAATAAATAAAGTCACAAATGAGAGAAGAGAAATAACAACCGCTATTACAGAAATACAAACTATTGCAAGAGGATATTATGAAAAACTGCATGTCAACAGATTGGACAACCAGGAAAAAATGGATAAATTCCTAGAAATATATAAATTTACCAAAACTGAAACAGAAAACTCTAACAGACCAATAATCAGCAAAGTAACTGAATCAGTAATAAGAAATCTCTCAACAAACCAAAGTCCAGGACCAGATGGTTACACAGGTGAATTCTACCAAACATTTAAAAAAAAGTTAATACCTATTCTCAAACTACTCCAAAAAACAGAAAAGGAAAAATACCAAATTCATTCTATGAAACCAGCATTACACTGATATCAAAGCCAGATAAAGACTCCACTAAAAAAGAGAACTATAAGGACAATATCCCTGATGAACATGGATGCAAAAAGTCTCAATAAAATACTAGCAAACCAAATTCAACAATACTTTCAAAGAATCATTCACCACGATCAAGTAGGATTTACTCCTGGGTTGCCAAGGTGGTTCAATATTTGCAAATCAATCAACATGATACACCACATTAATAAAAGAATTTTAAAACCATATGATCATTTCAACAGATGCAGAAAAAAAAACTTGACAAAATACAACATCATGATAAAAATCCTCAACAAAGTAGGGTTAAGAGAGAACATACCTCAACATAATAAACGCCATATACGAAAATCTCACAGCTAATATCCTAAAAGGGGAAAACAGAACTTTTCCTCTACCTTCAAAACAAATCAGGAATGTCCCCTTTCACCACTGTTACTCAACATAGTACTGGAATTCCTAGCCTCAGCAATCAAACAACAAAAAATAAAAGGCATCCAAATCGACAAGGAATAAGTCAAACTTTCATTATTCTCAGATGACATGATACTCTTTATAGAAAACCCAAAAGATTCCACCAAAAAACTGCTAGAACTGATAAATGAATTCAGTAAGGTTGCAGGATACAAAATCAACATACAGAAATCTGTTGCATTTCTATACACCAATAATGAAGCAGCAGAAAGAGAAATTAAGGAATCGATTCCATTTACAACTCCACCAAAAATAAGATTACCTAGGAATAAACCTAACCAAAGAGTTGTGAAAGATCTGTACTCGGAAAACTATGAAACACTGATGAAAGAAATTGAAGAGGACACAAAGAAATGAAAAAACATTCCATTCTCATGGATTAGGAGAACAAATATCGTTAAAATATTTATATACCCAAAGCAATCTACACATTTAATGCAATACCTATCAAAATACCACCAGCATTTTTTAAGAGCTAGAACAATTCTAAAATTTGTAGGGAACCACAAAAGACCCAAAGCAATCTTGAAAAAGAAAAGCAAAGCTGGAGGCATCAAAATTCCAGACTTCAAGCTATGAAACAAAAGCTGTGGTGATCAAGACAGTATGATACTGGCATAAAAATAGACACACTGATCAAGGGAACAGAATAGAAAATCCAGAAATGAACCCACAACTATATGGTCAACTGATCTTTGACAAAGCAGGAAAGAATATCCAATGGGAAAAAGTCTTCAACAAACTGTGTTGGGAAAACTGGACAGCAACATGCAAAAGAATGAAACTAGACCACTTTCTTACCCCATACACAAAAATAAATTCAAAATGGATTAAAGACCTAAATGTGAGACAGGAAACCTTAAAAATCCCAGGTGAGAACACAGGTAGTAACTCCTTGGACAACAGCTGTAGCAATTTCTTACTAAATATGTCTCTTGAGACAAAGGAAACAAAAGCAAAAATAAACTACTGGGACTTCATCAAAATAAAAAGCTTCTACACAGCGAAGAAAACAATCAACAAAACTAAAAGGCAACCTTTTGGAGTGGGAGAAGATATTGGCAAATTACATATCTGATAAAGGGTTAGTATCCAAAATACGTAAATAACATAAAACTCAACACGCCCCCAAAAATAATTAAAAAATGGGCAGAACACATGAATAGACATTTTTTTCCAAGAAGACATACAGACACATGCAAAGATGCTCAACATCACTCATCATCAGGCAAATACAAATCAAAACTACAATGACCTATCACCTCATACCTGTCAGAATGGCTAAAATCAACAATAAAAGAAACAAAAGGTGTTGGTGAGCATGTGGAGAAAGGGGAACCCTCAATGCACTGTTGGTGGGAATGCAAAATGGTGCAGCCACTCTGGAAACCAGTATGGAGGTGCCTCAAGAAGTTAAAAATAGACCTACCCTACGATCCAGCCACTGCACTACTATGTATTTACCCCAAAATACAAAAATACGAATTCAAAGGGATACATGGACTGCCCTCCAATGTTTATAGCACTATCTACAATAGCCAAAATACAAAAGCAGCCCAAGTGTCCACTGACTGATGAATGGATAAAGAAGATATGGTATATATATCGAATGGAATATTACTCGGCCATAAAAAAAGAACAAAATCTTGCCATTTGCAACAACATGGATGGAGCTAGAGTATTATGCTAAGTGAAATAAGTCAGAGAAACACATGTACCATAGGATTTCACTTATATGGGGAATTTAAGAAACAGACCAAAGAACGTACAGAAGAAAAGAGAAAGGCAAACCAAGAAACAAACTCTTAACTATAGAGAACAGATGGTTACCAGAGGGGAGGTGGGGGGGGGGATGGGTTAAACAGGTGAATGGGATTAGAGTGCACTTGTGATGAGCACCGGGTGTTGTATGGAAGTGCTGAATCACTATACTGTACACCTGAAGCTAATATTACACTGTATATTAACGAACTGGAATTTAACTACAAACTTAAAAACAAAAACAAAATGCAGGCTTCAGACCCTACTGTTGGCAAGGATTTGCTGGCCTCTATATGAGATTCTGTTGCCTGCAGATGGCTAAGACTGGCTCTTCAATCCAGCTCAGAGAGAGGAAGTCATCTACTCAGGCTTCAGAGTCCAGCTATCCTCTGGTTGTCCATCTCTACCATAAATAGTTAAGTTGATTCTCTGATTGCCACCTAGCTCTATTCTATTAGATAAAAAAGCAGCAAAGCCCTATTAGGTAAAAGCCTGGAGGGGAAGACAGTGGTAAAACTGCACTCACAACCTCACTAAATCTAATACATATTCCAACAAGATAATTTACAATGCTTTTTTATTTAAACAACTTTATTACGTCAAAAGCTACCTGATATGGCCCAAATTCTCAAAATTAACTGTGGATGGCTTAAATAAAACTGAAATATGTAAAGTACATCTTCAGCAACCTCTAACACAGTACTAATCAACAGAACTTGTAGCAATGACTGAAATGTTCTATTTCTGTGTAGTCCAATGTGATACCCACCAGCCACATGTGCTTACTGAGCATCTGAAATGCACAAGTGTGACTAGAGATACTGAATTTGTAATTTACTTCAAAATTTAAATTGTCACATGTGGCTAGTGGCTACCTTACTGAACAGCACAGCTTGAACCACTCTCTACTCTGAGCATTACCTCACAGTGGCCTTCTCCTCACTCTGGGCGCTAACTCACAGCCAGTCCTGTGACTCTTCTCAACACAGTCTTGTGCAGGGATGGCTACCAACTCTAACTTGCCTAGGACACTGAAACTAGTTTCTCAAAACACCGACTTCATAAAAAGAAACTAAAAACAAACCAAAAAAACTCTAAGAATAAAACGACAGGCAGGGGAATATAAGGCACCTGTTCATGTTCTTTCAAAAATACAAGAGTTGCCTTTGTAAGATGTCCATACTGTCATTAAGTTACTTGAATTTGACAAAAGCTCTAAAAACATTAATCAGAAGAGTCAATAAACCAACCAAATTCATTTGAAGAATACAAATGAAGACAAAGACCAGTAAGTTGAAAGATATCAAGATTTTATGTAATTTTAAAACAAGCCTATAATGAAAAAAATTATGTGGAAAGAGCCCAGAATGATAAAACTATCACAAAGTTATCATTTTATATCTAATTCACATTTCATACACTGAGCTGAACAGCCAAAGAGTAAATCAAATTTGGCACTATGTATTCATTGGTCTACCTTGCAGTAACGAGAGTAAATTTTTTAATCAGGTGGCTTATGTGCACTAACATTATAAATCTACAATTTAAAAAAAATAAAATTTACCAGTTCCATCAGGTGTTTTATGGAGAGTGACACTGCTTCATCTGATGGTGGATCCATTAACCTACTCAGAAAATAAGCAATTCCACCTAGCCTTAAAATCTGGGGGAAGACAAATATAATTAAACATACATATACTGTCATTAACAGTTTAGTCCTGCCTGTCAATCACTTGAATAAAGCATCAAACCCATACATTATTTTCAAGTTACTACTTTCTCTCACTCACCAACTCTATATTGATGGGAAAAGTAGCTGGTTAAAATCTCAACAATTAAGGTGATTACCAATTATCTTCAAAATAAGGTTAACTGTATCAAAATATATAGGTGGTGAAAACTGGTGAGTAGTTTATCATGAAGGATAACACCTTATGATGTCATAACGTACATATAGCTAACATTTACTGAACACTTACTATTTGCCAGGCACTGTTCTTAGAATTTTATAAAAGCTTAATTTAAATGACTTGCCAACTAACAGAACTAGCTTGTTAGGGGAGGAGCTGGGATTCAAACATAGGCAGTATGGTTCTAGAGCGTACATGATAAAAATGTGGTTAGTAAACATCTGAAGAAGTTTAAAAACAGTTTACTAACACAAAAAAGACAAATGCATGGTAATAATTCTTCCTCACAGATTAATACACTACTTTCTTCTATACTAATGTTGAAAATTACAACCCTACCCTCCATTTACTTCCTTAATTCTCCCACCTAATTTACCTTTATCTGTAAACAAAGTTCTTCCAAAGGAGTTCTTAAAATTTCTGGCAGTTGATAGTCATCCAGAAGGCTTGCTCTAAGACCATTATACAGATGATAGCAATGACCTGGTTGAACTCTTTAAAAATAAATAAATAAATAAGAGCATTACTAATGACTTTTTAGCACTCCAGAGAAAATAGGAAGCTCCAGGGCAAGTAACCAATATCTATTTCATGTAGGCTACACCATCACTAACTTATTTCATTTTTATGAACGCCCCTACTGATGACCCTGTAATATAGTTTGCCCTGGCCTTCAAAATAATTATTGATCAGGCTTTGCTAAAGGAATCTACATCTATAGACCCTACAAGGAACTATTTTCCATTTGAATTAAAACACTGTAATTCTATAGTTAACTTCTACCAAGCTAGCTGGAAATGAAAAATTAGATGAAATATAAATATATATAAATATAATACTTCGTTTACTTTATTTCTATAATTGTTTTAAGGATCAAACCTAAGGGTAGTATGTTTACTATTCATATATAGAAGTGTACCAAATGGTGAATACTTCTTGAATCAGTATCCAGTGGTGGTAAGCCTGAATGAGAAACCTTAGTCTTGGTGGATCCTGAAATCAAGTTATCCCCCAATAGCTGGTAAGAAGAGTACAATTCTTAGAATAAGTCATGACTTTGCACTAACAGCACCAACTGTATAATCTAATAAACTGTCTCCAAGTTATAATGGGATGATCTGCAAAGATTACAGCAAGTGAGTCAGAGCTTTACTACGTACAAATGTAAAACAAAGCACTGATAAAATTATAAAGTTTTCTTTCAATTCTCCTTTCCTTAAGTCAATAGCTGAAGAATGATGGAAACCTTTTTGTTCCACCTGTAAGAGGCAAAAGAAAAACTCTTCTACAATTCCAGACATGATTCTACCACTCATGAGTAAGGGTGTAAAAATACTGTGAAGTATGCATTAAGATGAACAATAAGTGCAATTATTTGTGTTAAAGGCAAATCATTTTTCCTACCATTAAAAGAGATGCTTTTATTTCTTATGCTACCACCACATCAATGAGGTAAAGGTATGTTACTTGGGTTTTCACTGGCAACTAATAGTGAAAAACCAGTATAGCTGTAAAGTACAGGATTAGGAGCCCAGACTGGAGCCAGACTGTCTGGGTTCAAATCTTGAATCTGCTCCTTACACAGCTGTGTGACTTTTAATTTCTTTACACCTTAATTTCCATACCCTTAAAATGGGGCCAATACCCTACCTCATTGCATTTGTAGTGAGGATTAAGCAAGTTAATACATACAAAGTGTTAAGGAGATAACATGACATTCAAATATTATTACTAGTTATCATGATTATTAGTAATATGTGCTTTTAAAAAAAGAACAGAAACAATATTATACATAACAGAATAAGAATAAAGAATATTAATTTTAATTAACTATATTAAAGAAATTAAAAGTAGAAAAAATCATGAAATAGAAAACTGGGCAGGTATTTTTCCAAAGAAACTATGATTAAAACAGCTTTCAGACAAAGATTCCTCTTACCTTCCAGCTCGACCTTTCCTTTGTTTGGCATTAGCTTTACTAACCCACTCGGCAGACATTGTACTGATGTTATTCTGTGTGTCAAAGTGTGTTTCTTTTATTTTTCCTCCATCTATCACATAAACTACATCATCTATGGTAATGCTGTTTGGAAAATAGACATATGAAATATTAAAGCACATAAAACGTCTAACAGGGCCTACAGATAGGGATTTTAAAGAATTTTTTATTGACCAAACTGCACCATTATTCCCACATTTACCAACACTGCAGGCATCGAGCACCTACAGCATCAGGAGCTGCAGTGGCAGCCAATTCTACAGACCACATGAAGAATTTATTTGCCCACAGTCAAACTTCACAGCTTATTTAAGTACTTTTTGTACCCAGCTCTGTGGGTCCCAGTGACATGGTTTAATATCAGCTTCCACAGAAAAATCTGTTTCAATGACTGTATAGACAAATTAATACCTCCAAGGGAATACAAGAAATTTTAAAGGCTATTCACAACTGATTATCAAACAACACGACCCCCAACCAGAAAAAGGCAAAACCAAAGCTGACCTCACTCCCACGCTTCTTAAGGCTTTAAAAAAAAGACACTAAAAAGGCTGTTTGTAAAGAGGGCTGAACCATTAAAGGATTAAAAAACAAAACCAAAAACCTATGCTCAATGCATGACTAAATTAAAATACCTTTATGTAGAGAAATTATGAAGTATCTTTTGAAGAGAAGAGTGTAGGGTATGTCAATAATTTATGGGGCTCAAAACTAATACAATCATAAGTAGTTGATATTTACCTAGTCTCTGCAATATTCGTTGCAATTACTATTTTCCGAACACCAGGAGGGGTTCTTTTAAATACCTGTAAGAATGAATAAATCAAAACCCCAAAAGTAATTTCTAATACATCATTTTTGCAATTAGAAGAATTACTTCTACCTACAGATACTGTTCATTTTTAGCATTCTATGTTCATTCATTTACATATGCATCTAATATGTGTAGATATATTTTATTTTTTATTTATTTATTTATTTTTAAGATTTTATTTATTTGACAGAGAGAGAGACAGCGAGAGAGGGAACACAAGCAGGCAGAGTGGGAGAGGGAGAAGCAGGCTTCCTGCCGAGCAGGGAGCCCAATGCAGGGCTCGATCCCAGGACCCTGAGATCATGACCTGAGCCGAAGGCAGTCGCTTAACCAACTGAGCCACCCAGGCGCCCCTGTAGATATATTTTATAGGTATATATCATTTTCAGTACTATAAAATTCCCTTTTGGTAAAACAAACCAATTCTCCCAGATTCTGGAACCTTATCACAAACAAGATTTCAAAAGAAATATGATTATTTGAATTTACAGAATCTTTTTTTAACAAAAGCTGAAAAGCATAAATGTCTTTTTGTGTAGTCAATCTTTTGAGAGAGAGTTTAGTTTAGCAATAAGAATTATGCATTATCCAAAACTATATGGCTAAGGGCACCAAACCACCAGGCAAATGCCAAACTCAACAGAATGCATGTCTGGTTGTACCACTGTATATAAGCTTTTGAAATCAGACTGAACTAAAAAAAATAAATCTTCAAATGCTGAATCCTACAAACAGCACCCTTCACAAAGCCAGCCAAATAGAAGACATATAGTCAAGTACCACTTGGCTATTAATGCAAAGAAATGCATAAGTTTGTCTCATTTATAAAAATGGTATTCAAGAGAAAATGTTTTCCAATCTAGTCATGTAATCTCTAGCAAAGGAATACATAATTTGCTATTACAATGTCAGAGAGGAAGCACTTCCACATTGGATACTTTTCTGTCTGGTCTTTGGAATTAAGAGTCTTCTCTCTTTTGTCTTCCTTTAGGTATGCACTCTGTATCTCATTAAACTGGCTAAGCCTTAGTTAGACTATGGTATCAACAGAAAAGATATTAAAAGTGCCTCAATAAAAACATCTTGTTATATTTTTTTGAGACAAAGAGAGGGAGAGAGAAAAAGCACGTGAGTACAGGCACACACACACACGCAGGCGCTCAACAGCGGGGAGAGAGAGAATCTCAAGCAGCCTCTATGCTCAGTGCAGAGCCCAGGGCTCAGGGCAGAACCCGCCGTGGGGCTTGATCTCACAACGCCAAGATCATGACCTGAGTCCAAATCAAGAGTTAGGCGCCTAACTGACTGAGCAACCCAGCCACCCTGTCTTGATATATTCTTAGAAAAGAAGTGGAAAAAGTAGAAGGGAAGACAGATTTTCTTCTGATCCATCTCATACTACCTGGGCCTACAAACATTGCAGTCCTGAAAACTATCTTGCCTTTGAGAATGCAGTGTTCATCTAACTAGGGATATCCCTGAATGTGACAAAGACAAAACATTCAAAACCATAACAGTGTATTACTGATAAAACAGGAAATCTCATACCTACAAATATACTAATTGTTAAATCAAAATCTCAAACATCAAGCTGTAGTATGCCACAGATAATTGAAACCCAAACAAGTTATTGGTGAAACCAATCTTTAAACTTTCCCTAATGTTGACAAAACTATATTTGTTAATTACCCTCAGTTATTCAAGTGTTTGTGCAATTATCCCCTGAAGACTCATTTGCAAAGGTTCTCAAAGAAGTACTTTTTATATATGGATTACTACTTGAAAATTCACCTTCAAAAAAACAGAAGAAAATAAAACACACAATAAGCAGCCCTTAAAGCTTGTTTCAATTTGAAAGACAGAGAGGGAATAAATTTAAGAACATACCTGTGTCTGGTTAACTGTAGGCATCAGTGAATGTAGGGGTATAATAAGAAACCTGTCTGAAAATTTAAAAAGAAAATTAAACTTTAAGATAAATTATTGCAGAAAAGCTCCAGCAGACAGACATGGAACAATGAGTTGAGATGCTAAGCCACATAATTCTTAATTTATATTCCTATGTATAATCAGAGCAACTTTATTCTTTTTATTTTCTTCTTTCCTTAGTGCTCCAGCAAGTTCTTGCTCACATTTTACTGTCAATTTACTGCACACTGATAAGCATATTCCCCAAATTCCTAAAGAATGCTTAAAGTTAGAAGCAGTCTTCAAGTTATGCTAGAAAAACACCACTAAAACTCCATTCCCATCACTTAACTGAAGACCCAAAAATTTTGCTTTAATATGAATATAAGTTTATAGACTCTGGGTGATCCTCACTATTTTAATTAACAGAGAATATGTCATTTTTTATAGCATATTACTTATGAAATTTCCATGTCCATTTTTATGCTAAAAAAATAATAGAAACAGCACTGGTTAAATATAATACATCCTAAAAGTGACCCAACATTTTTAAACATAATTTCATAGAAATGTAAGAAACCATATTCCCACTTTTTAAGTTTCAAAATGAAATAGCTCATGCCCTTCATGGTTATTAGCAAATAAGGAGAAAGTCTGGTGTAGTATCAGTGATGGAAATGAGGGAGTGTTAAGGAAGAAAGGGTAGATTTCATGTTTAGCTATGGTTACCAAAAAAAGGCAACCTCACTTAAATCTCTAGCAAGTGTCCAAATGACTCAAGATAGCTATATTTCCCCAGAAAAAAACTACTGTTATTCAAAGGAGATATGATGTCCCCAGACTCTAGGACCCTATAAACAAGGGTTATAAATCTTAAAAAGTAGTAAAGAGTGGCCAAGCAAGTGACACTGCTAAAAAGAATGCTCTCAATTACTTATCTCTGACACAATATGAAATACATCAACTCAATCAATACTCAAGCCAAAAATATTTCTCGAACTGGATTAAGCCTTAAGATGTAACTTCCAGTTTATAAAAAGTACAGGTAAGAAAGGATCAAATGAAACGACACTGTAAGGATTCAGACTCAGACAAATCTAGAAAGTCTAGGTGGACCTAGTGTTTTCCACAAGTCATTACCATGAGGAAAGTGAAGAGGGTATGAAAGTGATTATCTAGAGTAAAAGATTTATCTGGTTTCCGTTTTTCTGTAGTGTGAACAAGCTAGCTATAAAAGACACTTTCCGGGGAAAATCTGATTATGGATTATTAGATGATGTTTTAAGAGTTAGGTATTTTCATATAGAAAATTGTGGTTATATAGAAAATTGTCTTTATTTTTAGAGATGCATATATTTTTTGGGAAAATGCGATAGCTGCAATTTACTTTAAAAAGGAAAAAAATCAGATCACAAAAATAATTCCTGCACAGAAGTCAATGGAGTATGATGTGCATTGTGATCCACTAGTTTTCTGTAAGTTTAAAATGTTTCATTACAAGTTAAAAAAATCAGCAGCCAGGTAAAACAATGAAAGTAAAAATAATTCTGTTGAAGACTGTAACTGGGATAAACATAGTTTATAGTGCTGATACTGTGCAACTACAGTAGTCAGTGGGAACAAAGTCTACACTCTTAGAATAAGAAAGCTGGTAAGCATTCGGTAAATTGAGTTTCAAGATTTACCTTTCAGTCGGTATAGAGTTAGACCAATTTTTTGCCCCTTCTACAATGGCTAACACAGTATAACTGATTATTTAGGCCTAAATTTTAAAAATATAACGAGAAAAAAACATTCTTGTTAAACTTTGGAAAGATCTTTAAAAAGAATTGAGCTGGTAGTCAAAGTGTAAATTAATACCTCCTTCCTTGAAAATAATTAAATTAGAAAGTTAATAAAGTCAATTACAATAAACTGTAATATCACACCCTTTCCACACTCCCTCAGAAATTATAGTATTACATTTTGGTATATCTTCCCTATATTTTTCTTGGTAAACACATACATATACTTACATTTTTTTAAAATTAAAAGTAGATCATACTACTGTATGATTTATTTTTGGGGTAAAAGGGGCCAACACTAAAAGGTTCAGTCAAAAAAAAAAATTCCAGTTGTTTAAAAAAAAAAAATTCAGTTGCACTGTTTAATCATGACTACACTTTTTCTACAGAGAAAGGTTATCACTGATCAGGAAAAGAGAAATCAGTTTTTCATTATAGAGAAGTCGTGGTAATCAAATAAAAACATTTTCCAGCTAGAGAACAGTAAATAACTTTAATTACAGATAACGTCTGGAGGGCATTACTAGAGTGGGATTTAACAAAAGAATAAAAAAATACAGCTTTACTATTTCAGCCAATACAATTAGGTCAAAATATTTTCAGTGTCATGTAAAAATGTGTCAAAAGCACTTCAAAAGATTAAGGTTAGAAATTATAATCAGAACTATCAAATACTAAATAGAATTTGCTTTGTATTTTACTGAAGTTAGCAATTATTCCTGAAAATGCTCTGGTTGAATCTTTTGAGAGAAAAACTGCCCCATGTATTTCTCTAAGACGTAAGAGATTATGTCTCTCAAACATGCTTTTAAAACATCAGAATCACCTGAGGAATTTTTAAAAACTACAGATATTCAAGCAAGCCACATTCTTAGATTTGAGGTGAGGATGGGGTCTGAGTATCTAATTTTAAAGAAGCACCACTAGTGACTCAGTTGTACAGTCCAAGATGAGAAAACACTGAGCTAAAGGATAAATTCAACCTTCTTTTCTGCCCAACTAAATTCAGCAGTGAGTGAAAAAACACCTGAAGCCCCAACATCTTAACTTTAAGGGTTCAACATTATTAGGCAAATTTAGGAAAAGGGGTAAAATACTCTTATAATACCAAACAAAAAACTTTACCATATACCTAACACCTTCATCTTGTGACCTAGAACTTTATTTGTAAGAAAGAGAGAGATCCAAGTTTTTACAAAACCCAGCCTGAGCTTAAAGATGACCAAGTTCCTACAAGTAAGGTAGCCTTCAAAGCAATACTTCTAGAAATAAAAGAAAACAACCCATGTTACATATGATTTAAGTACTATTCTTGGAATTGCAATAAAATACATTTCTGTAATACCTGATTTAAACATCACTTGTGACATCAAGAGATCATGTAAAGTGCTGATATTGTCCCAGCCTGGTAGAAAGACCAATATCGCACCATCCTGTATGGCGGGGAAATAACCATTACAAAAAATCATGTAACAAAACACAAAGTAAACTTCTGTGCACATTTAAGTCTTCATTAAAATTTTATTAACTTAGGAAATTTAGTTACTGATTATAACTGAAGAATACAAGCTCACTTTTTAAAAAATAGGATTTACAATCCAGATATTTCATTTGTTTAGTCTTTCCTTCAAATAGATCAAATGCCTAAATCTTGGTATTTTGAGATTCCTATTTCTGGTTTCAAAGCAATTTCTTCCATATGCTATTTTTAAAAAGCATTTAAGAAAATTATTCTTTTTTCAGGGTCTTGTTACATTAATACAATTAAAATTATGTCACCAAAAAACAAAAAACTAACCTCTTCTTCCAAAACAATGTGTCGGATAAGGGCAGCAATCAAATTCAGATCAACTTTATCATCATCCACCATTTCCAGAACATCTACAGTACTTGCAGAATACCTAACAAATTTAAACAGAAAATCATGAAATACCTAATAAAGTTTCCTAAGGTTCAACTTGCTATAAAATCTTAAAATGAACTCAATCGGCAAATGGGGAACCAATTAACATATAGGAAAGAATGACTGGAATAACAAGTTATGAACAAATTCAAAAAAGACAATCTCTGCTTTTGTCATTTAGCCTCTGTGCTCTCCAATTAAAACAAACTCAAAGAAATAACAACAAAAAACCCCACTTACCTTTTGCGCAGTTCCCTTACATAATCTGGCCAGCGTTCTTTATAGATTGCTTCTTTTTCTTCTTTTTCTTGTCTATTTACATGCCCTTGCATGAAACCCCTCTTAAACTGGGACCTGTGTTCTTTTTGTTCTGGAACATATCTAAAATAAAAACATTCTCAAATAGCTTCACTTTTTGGAAACTCTTCTGGTTTTAGCAAATATCCATGACTTTTTACATTCGGATTTTAAAGAACATTTTCATTATGCTTTCTAGTGAATGCTAATTACATATTTGTAACTATTCATTAACATATAAAATCTGACATTTTAGATGTCTACCAAAGTATATAAAACCCTCTACCAAAGTATATAAAACCCACTAGATCATCATTAGCAGTCAAAAAAAAAAAAAAATTAACAGTAGAGTCACTTTCACCTTTTAAGTTTGCTCCATAAAGTTAAGATTAAATCCAAATAATAGTAAATGCCTAGCTGAAGACTCAGATTTTGAATACAGAGTTTCCAAACCTGAGTGCACAAAAGAATCCCACAGAGAGCTTATAAAATATAGAATCCTGAATCCTACCCCTTGTAATTTGGATTCAGGTCTGGTTGGGGTCTGCTAATCTAGGAATTTTAATTAGTGCCCCAGGAAATTCAGATAATTTATCTATGGACCTATAAACCCATGCTTGAGAACTATTTAATTCTGCTCAGTCCTATAGTCAAAGCTAAACGGTGGAGTCAGGATCAGTACTCTTAAGTGTCAGTCCAGTATTATGCCATGACTCCATCATACCATACTGACTGCTAAAAACAGGTGCAGCTGCCTAAGAATGCCACCTAATTTAAGTGGGCTTGAAGAGGCATGGGGGTGGGAAGAGACAAAAAAAAGAAACTAATTGCACTTGAACTCCAAAGCCCCTCAGAATTTGTCTAGGGAAGAAAGAGCACCTAGATCCAATGCTGGGGTGGGGGGGGGGGGCTTCGAGCATAAGCTTTAGAATTAGAACTGAACTGATGTCCTTGCTCTGCACTGACTACCTGTGTGACCTTAGACAAGGTTTAAGTCTCTACCTTTTGGTTTGCTTATTTGAGAAATTAATACTCTTATAATTGTATTGGCATGAGAATAAAAGAAAAATCCAATAAAATAAAGCACAGTGCCTGACACATAGTAGACACCCATATTAATCCCCTTCCCTATTCAGTACCTGTGACCCAGGATTCCCCTAAGTCTTCAATACATATAGAGGCATCAACTTGAGGTAGGGCAACCTGAGACAGAGATTAGTCCTAGTCAGCAGGATGGACCCACAATTGTCTCCTTTTCCAGCAATTCCAAAAAAAAAGAAGCAAGCTTCAACCCCCCCAGAGCCCAAGTGCCCGATGACAACCCTCTGTATCATCTCACCCTGCTTCCTTCCCTCTTACTTCCCTGTAGCACAGCTGCTTTTCTAGGAAGAGAGGGCTGGGGGCTTCTGCCTGAAAACTTCTGTCCAAGGACTACCCTTCTTCAACTCCCCGCTTAGGACTGACTAAGTGCATAGACACCATCTTTTTTGCTTCAAGAGACCCTTTAGCTACAGTTCCCTGAACATTCTCTGCCTTCTAGGGAGCTTAAGAACACAATTCATCATTAAATAACTTTAGAGCACTTTCACTGCTGTCAAGTGACAGCTCTTATTCTATTAGAAAACAACTGGTAAATGTGCCACAGTAGAAAGTGAGACGATTGTTCGAATCAAAGAAGGAATGCATAATAAAGCTCACTGATGACAAAACCAGAGCATGGGAGACCAAGACACTCTCTCTCACAGAGTATGTTCTACCTTCTCTGACATACACTCTTCCCTCTTTCCTACTGAGTTTCACTGTTTTCCTGACTTGCTCAGTCTATCCCTGCTATATAATCTCATTTCCAGTACATTCTTTACTTCCCCTGGAATAGGTCAATCATACTTTATGTGACAGCTTATGTGTCTCTGTCTACATATAAGCTGAGGAGATGTACCAAGGCCTTCCTTGTTTATGCTCAGACCCTAGTGCACAGTGCAAGGCATAAAGTTTAATAAGAATCTGTTAAATAAATGTCCACACAAAATTCAGCTTTTCTCCATGTAAAATATGCTGTAGGATCTTTGTTTTCACCTTCCCACTATCACTTCCTGGTTTTTTCCCTAACAAGTAAGCTGTGGTCTTGAAAAATCTCATCACAAGTGTTTCTACATCTGTCTATATATTTATGCACGTTTACTACAGGCCAGGCACTGTACTGTGCACTAGTTACAGAGATGAACAGGACAAAATCCTTGACGTCCAAAAATCTGCAGTCTAGTACAAGCAAATATAAAGATACACTACGTGGCAATATGGTAAGTACTGTAAGAGAGATGATAAAAGTGATAGAGGAGTTCAGATGAGAAAGCAACTCACTCTGTGAGAGGGCTAAGAGAAGGTTTAACAGGCAGTGAAGCTGGGATTTGTTCTTAACATAACTGAGTTTATATATATAAAGGGAGAAGAAGGTGGCATATATAAGTCTAAAAGGAGAACCCAGCATTTAATAGAGCACCAAGTGCTTGAATGAAAGGGCACTGGCTGGCATATTAGGGAATGGTGCATTTAGCATGGGTAGGCCATGAGATGCATAAGGCTAGAAAAAAAAGACGGGGCCAGATTGTAAAGAGTCTTGGGATAACTAGCTAAGGAATTGGAATCCAATCCGACAGGCTGTTTTCCCAGCCCTTCTCTCATCAAGAAATTCAAATATGATTTGGTATAGTCCCCTGAAGAAGGCTGCTAGTAGCTAATGGCCCGAGTATTGAAGGGACCAATAATTTGGGCATATCAGCTGAGCTATTCTGCTACAGGCCATGACAAAGCACAGAGATCCTTAAACAAGTTTTTAAAGAGAAATCTCAGGAGGCTTGACTAGGGTGAGAATGCCCACATAACCAGATTTTGTAGGAAACTATACAGCACTCTCGCATATATGTGACAGTGAAGACCATAGTGCCAAAAGAAGATTAGCACAGAAGAGAAAATGAGGACCTTAAGTAGAAGAAATAAAAATGAGAAGGCATGTTCAAGAAGAAAGCTCTCATGGTTTGCATTGTGGGGCAGGTGGGAGTACAGAATGATTTAGACTAAGTTAGTTACTAAGCATGTAAAGCAGTTAACATATCCTGGTACATAACTGGTTGGTATTAGCTCTTCTGATTTACAGCTTAGACACTGGGTGGAGGATCATACCAGTAACCACTGTAAGACACATTATTGTGTTTTAACTTTGGATATAAGACAACATTTTTAGTTGGAAAAATGTGAGGTTCAGGGTATCTAAGGTACTAGAATGTTGCGGAGTATAGAGTTGAGCCCAAATTTAATGTTCAGGAAGAGCTTCCGTTCTGAAAGCTGTGAAACTATAGAACTATGGTCATGGAAACAGGATTGCACAGTGAAACCATAAAAGACTGGGAAAAGGCTAATTAAGAACCCTCAGGGGAAATCCTATTTAAAAGGCAGGCAATGGAAGCCAGCAAAGAATGAAAACCAGGTAGGAGAACCAGAAGAGAGGTTTAAGCACTAAGGACAAAGGTTCCCAAACTCTGCTGCCCAGGGATCTTTAAAAAATTCTGATGTCGGGCTACCAGCCCAGACTCTGTAATGTAATTAAGGTATGGAGTGTGAATGGGGCATCTGGATTTTAAAAGACTCCAGGTGATTTTAATGTGCAACCAAGTTTGGGAATCACCGATTTAAAGAAAAACAATGTCTTAGAAGGAAATGGTTAAAAAAGAGGGTCTGAGACTAAATTTCGACAGAACAAAAGGTGACATATTAGTATTTTTTAATATCTTTTTATTTCCTAATATTTACTTACCTTATTTTTTCAATTATATCTTCCAAAAGATACTCCACAACCGGAAAAGTAAAACCAGGTATGTGTATCATTGGACAGTTACCTATTATGGCAGACAAAACATTAATCTGTACTCAAATGTTCCAAAAAAAAAAAAAAAATCAATAGACTCTAAAGAGACCAATAACTCTCTTAAGTTCAAAAATGGTCCTGGCACTTTCATAGTTCTACCCTATTTTTTCATACTGAGCTTAATGAGAACTAGCAGTCTACTCTTCACTCACTACCACTTTACTGCTACTAAATCGTACACATACCTCACAGTTCTACAAAGTAACCCAAAATATCCAAGAATAGAGCATTTTAAGTTGGACTCAAAACTCGTTACTTGAGGTCTATTTCCTCTCCATCATTAGCCAAGATGGTACCATCAGAACCCAAGTTTTACTGAAATCAACTTAAGAAGCACTATTCCTATGGCACCCAGAATCAGGAAAAGAGAAAACATAGTTAAAAGAAGACCTAACAAATATTAAATTGTTACCTACTATTCTAAAGTAATTTACTTTACTTCAAAGTTCTTTTTTACTTTTACTACTTTACTTCAAACTGTTACTTCAAAGTTACTTATATTTCATACCAAGCAAAACAAGCAGTACACATTGTAAACAAAGACCAACACTATCTGAAGTGGTACCACAGCTCTGCCTTGCCCAAGTCTGAGCAAGTTACTCAGTGTTAGTTCTGGATAGCTCATCACACACACGCGAAATAAAAGACATAATACAAGCAACGAATTTCACGGATCTTTGAAGGTCAACTGGGCTGCATACAAGAATATTTAAATATTGCTCTATTCCATTTTAATCCCCCGCTCCGCCATTTTCCTTTCCTTCCCCCATGATTGTAAGGCAAGAGAGGCATAATTTAAAAAAAAATGTATTCTACAGCTAGTCAAATTTAGTTTCAAATCCTCACAACCCTCTCTTAATTGTGCAACCATTATAAGGCATACTGGGAAAGACATCTAAAAAATGGGAATAACAGTACTTACCTTATAAGGTGTTACGAAGATCAATGAAGACAAAGTGCCAAATAAAGCACACCTGGCATACTAAAGGTGTTCCGTAAGTGGTCAGTACTATTACTATTAGCAAACTGCCACCCTAGCCTGTGATAGTACATAAATGTCACAGAACAATCACAAAAAAATGTTCAAAAAATTATTCAAAGCTGTGGTTTGACTTTGCTGATGCCACCTTAATTACCTGATAGTAGCACCAAAAATTTGTATCTTTGCTATAACACAGATGATGCTGCCTTTTAAAAACAGGCTCACTTCTCTAATCTGTTGAAACCAGAAAGGTAGTCTCAACTATTTAAGACAACTTAAAATATTCTCCTGAATATTTAAAAGAATCGCTAAACCTTCATTTTAACTACTTTGTATCCATCAATGTATTAGATTTTTCTTTAATTAATTCTAAATTCAGTGGCTTTGTGATAACTTTCTAAAGCAATAATCACAGAATTTACTTACCAAAATATTCTGAAAATTTCTCAGCATTTAAAGTCGCACTCATCAATATTACTTTCAGGTCAGGTCGAAAATTGAGAAGATCTTTAATAACCGTCATTAAAACATCTGACTGTAGATTTCTCTCATGGATTTCATCAAGCACAATATGACTAACACTGGACAAATGCCTACAGCAAAAATGTGAAGTATGTAACTTAGTATAAAATATAAAAACTGAACCATTCTACCTTAACAATTAGTAAAATCCAATTTAATAATTATATTTTTTGTTACTGTTTAACTAAATGTCTGTCCTGAAGTGAAACATACTCACGAGTCTGACTGGAGCCACTGCAGGATGATTCCTGTCGTACAGTATAAGATAGAACCCTGCTTCCTTGGCAACCGACTGTGAATGGAAGATATGAGTTAACAGTTTTTGGTTTTCTTTACTAACAAATTATTCAGTACCACAAAAGTTTAAAAGAAAAGTTCCCATTTAAAAACTGCTTACAGTTCTAGTGAAAATCTTCACAGTTAATTTTTTGGTCATAGGACTGCCTACTGCAACAGAGTAATGTGAAATCCTACATTCAAGTTCACTACACATTATTTTCACTGTCATGATACAACATTAACGATGTCTTCTTAAAGGCATAACCATTAACATTCAGAAAACAACTTAATACTCAGGGGCCTAAACTTTTGTTCAGTGACCGGAAAGTCAGTTCACGGTAAATGGAATCTTGAGCTCCAGAAAAGGACTACAAAAATATAGTGGAGTGAATTGGGGGTTAAAGATACCAAAATCAATAGTCAGGGTGGTAGTACCAAAAGATAAAAGACACCAACTCCTTTCACGTGCAGTGATGGTCTAATGTACGTCTAGCAAAAAGTTATTTCTCTAGCCATTTCACAATATAAAGTGCATTTTAAAAAGGCAACCAAACACGAGTTTGGATTAAAAAAGTGAATTGCAAGCCTTCTATGCTGTAGTTATTCTAAATGTTAATTTTAACAGTAATCAGCATGACAACAGGGAACATTTTTCTCTTGAATATCTAACTTCAAAGTTTCTCTAAAATCTACCTGCACACAACAGGTGAACATTCTTTACCTCTGGAGACGAATCTGGTATCCAGTACTGTTACCATTGCCACAAGATTCTGCCCTTTCTGCAGCCACCCTCTCTGCAACCTTTAATCAAAATAAAAGACATTTTCAAAGAAAATATAATTTCCTTTAGGAAAAACATCTGGAACATCCATGAAATCTGGGATTGTTGAAAAAATGTTCATCAGTTTTTCCTGAGTTAAAAAAAGAGAGACAGATTCTAAAATCCCAGGGATCTAAAACTGTGTGTTGTCCCTTAAAATCTGCAGACTCCTTGCTTCTTAAATTTACTTTTCATCTCCTCTTATAAAGCCCTCCAAGGCCAAATTCTCTCTCATTATTTTCAAAGTGCCCTTCTATAGTATGCTCTTACTCATTCTACCTTTCTTTTGACTTTTCCATTAACAGTTAAAATCTTAGGGACGCCTGGGTGGCTCAGTCGTTAAGCGTCTGCCTTCAGCTCAGGTCATAATCCCAGGGTCCTGGGACTGAGCCCTGCATTGGGCTCCCTGCTTAGCGGGGAGTCAGCTTCTCCCACTCCTCCTGCTTGTGTTCCCTCTCTTGCTATCTCTCTCTGTCAAATAAATAAACAATAAATCTTAAAAAAAAAAAGTTAAAATCATGGGTCTAAACTTATCAAACCTGTGTGTAATTTGAGGGTAAATACATGTTGATACTTTTTTTCTCCAGTTTTTTGTTTGTTTCTTCTTGGTAGAGACTGGTGTTGCTTAATTCCTGGTTCTCAGTTGTGTTCTAAAAGTTATGGCTGCCAAAGATGAACTTGGAATTGATGAAATATTATTATAATCCAATACTGATTTATGTAACTAAAAGTAACCAACAGTCATCTTGTGACAGAACAGTGATTTATGAGATTAGAAACAGAAAATGGCGTAATTAAGAAAATACTTCAGAAGTAAAACTTTCCAATCAGTACATCCTGTATTCACAGACTTAAGACCATTATTTCACTTTTTATTACTTATTAAATTGCCCATTCAAATACTAACAGATCTTAGAAAAATAAAAAATAACCTAGTTAGCATATCTTTGTACTGTCAATATATATGGTAATGCTGCATTAATGAAAATATTTTTACCTTACTTAAATCTAGCTCTATAATTGTATTATGACAAAAGTGGTTATTTTTCTGTGATTTTACGTAATTCCTAGGAATACGATTCTACCAAAAAGATTGTTACTGTACTTTTTTAAACAGTATTTCTCAGAAATCAGTTTAAAATGTATACTATATTTCCTCCAAAATATTGCCATAATTGGTAATGCAGTTCCTAATCAGATTCTGTATTACATGACTTAGAGATAATAAATAGCACCATCATATAAGTAAATATAACCATAAATCTTTATAATTGAAATTTACATATAAAAATTACAGGTTGGACATTTTTTGGAGCTTATAATCTTATAAAGATTTATCAGCTTTCTATTCTTCTAGTTTTATAATAAAATTTGCCTGGATTTCTAATTTATCTTAAACACCTATTATCAGCAAGAGATCATTTGAGCTTTTGGTGTTTACTACCAAATATTTACTTTCATAACAGCATATCCCAAACCTAAGAAATCACTACAAACCTTCAAAATCAGTTTATTTTGACTGGGAGAATGGAAAATAAAAAGTGGGGGATTTTAAAAAGTGAGACATTACTTACTGAAATGGCACTAATTCTTCTTGGCTGAGTACAAACTATCCTGCATGCAGATCCTTTTCCTCTTTCAATGTAGTTATCCAAAATGAACTGAGTAACTTGAGTAGTTTTTCCACATCCAGTTTCACCACTTATTACTGTTACTTGATGGTTATCAATCATATTTACCAATTCCTATTTCAAAACGGAAAATAAGTGAAGGACATATGGTGATGAAGCCTGAAAAGGCAGTAATCACAATTCTATCAAACTGAAGGTAATCGCTTTTAACAAACATATTAATGCTTTTAAAATTTCATTAAATGCAATGCTGGCAGTTTGAGTACTGGATCCACCAGCTTTCAAGAGAAAAGCAGCACCAAATTATAAAAAGAACAAAGCCAGGCACTGTTAAAGGAAAACACACCAACAAGAGACAGCGGTAAGTTTTATACGTAAGAATGAACATTAATTAAAAAGAATGTTGATGTGTAAGGCTACTGAGTACAAGACAAATCCCAATACCTAAACAACACTAAGGACCTTAAAGACTTATATCACAACTCATACGATATGGCTTTATCTGCAGAACAAGTTTTGTATACTATTTCAGAGAACAAGAAAGAGTGTAACTTAAGATTATTTCCTTTCAGATAATTACAATAAAATTTTTAAATACCTAAATCAAACTGGTAAACTTCAATTATCTGGAAAACCTATTTGGGAAAGATCTTTTTTAAAAATTATAAACACTAATATTTTCATTAGTAATAGTCACTGTATTAATAAAACCATCCTACCACTTCAAAAAGGTATTAGAGATTACTTTTATCTAGTTTAATTAGAAAACCCACCTTTAAAAATTTTTCCATCTACTCTAACACACTACATATATCAGAACAAGTTCCAAGTTCGAACACTGAAATTATAGCTTATAAATACAGAGAAGCAGTATGGGATTTATTCATTCAACAAGTATTTACTGGGGCTTGACAGAATGTCAGGCACTGTACCAAGTCAACTAATACACTGTGAACACTCCGTCCTCAAGAACTTAAAATGGCCTAGGAGGGAAAGACACACTGTGGCAGGTGGTAGTTCAGGGCTATGAAAACCAAACCAAAACCAAAACAAAGTGAGGCTGAGAGAACAGAGAAGGATAAGGGACTCTACTATTCTCTAAGGTGACTGCGTAATAAAGGATAATAAATTAATTAAGGCACTATTTTCAGTAGTGCCTCAATTTTAATTAAAATGCTTGGTCTCAAATTAAGTGCAAGGGCATTTCCCCAAACTAACTTATATATAAAAATTCTATTTTTGAAGTTCTAAAGATTTCAATTATAGACAGAAATGAGAAAAGTTACAGAAAATTGTTTCATGACCAATTTTTTCTTTTGGGCCTTCAAAAATTCAGGACTAAAATGAACTTTCAGTAATACCCTTTAGGGGAAGGTCCATTTACATTTTCTCTTGATGCAGAGATTTAAAAATTATATTTAAATACTTTGCAAATCAAATTAAATAGTGTATATTCATTTTACCTTTTGCATTCCATATGAAGGCAGCTTTTCCCTGAAATGCTGAAAATTAAAAAAACTATTTTTAAACTTCACAAAAGAAACGTAACCAAATTATAATCATAGTAATCAGAATATATCATAAATATGCTAGAATCCCAAAACATTTTTATTACCTTACAGCTTATGTCAAGTACCAAGACTTAAAAAAGAATTTTTATAAAAAGAACTAATATACTTAGCAATCCCCTTTATTTTTGAAACACTGAAAAAGAATTCTATTATATTCAACAGAATCTTAAAGTGGCAGTAAAATGAAATCTGATCTGTCATCTAATAGCATTCTTATAATCCCTAAGTTACTTTTACCATTTTTTCTGTTTATTTTACATATTCATCTTAGACTTGTTTTCCATGTCACATTCATTTTCCCACCCATTGATCCACCATTTACTAATCCATTAGGCACTGGAGCAGATTAATTATTTCTGGGTACTCACTTTTGAGAATAAAAGAAAACTTAAAACAAGTAATATCTGAAACAGAAAAATCTGGTACTGCCATTTAAGAACTGTGATCTTAAGTCAAACTTGGATTCTGAATCCCTCAAAGGTTTTATCATAGGGTTGCCATGAAATCTGAACGAAAAACCTTTATAAAAAAAGCAAGTAGCAGCTTCTGACACATAAAAGCTACTCAACAAATTTTTGGTGAATTTCAACTGGAATACTAAAAAGAGGAAATGATTAAGTCCTGTATCTTGTTTGATAAGGTCTTTCTAATTTTGAAAACTTTTATGGAATCTCAAACCTACACTACATAAAAATGACATACACTTAGAGGAGTGCTATGGTTTACAATGACCTATGTACATGAAAAAACTTCAATGGTATAAAAAAATAACCACAGCTTTAACAAACTCCCTTTATTGAAATGGAAAAAAAAACCCACATAAAATTAGAACTGTCCTAGGTAATCTGGTACATTATTGCCATCATATTTTTTCCTAATTTTTATTTCTTGAAAAATCATCCTTATTTTTTGCCTACCTGTCAAAACAGGAGACTGAAAAAAATCCCCTATTTTTTTTGAGATATAATTGACATATAGCATATTACTTTCAGGTGTACCAATATAATGATTCAGTATCTTTATATACTGTGAAGTGATTATTACCACAGTAAGTCTAGTTAATATTCATCACCACATATTTACCATTTTTTTTCTTTCGGATGAGAACTTTTAAGATCTCTCTAAGCAACTTTCAAATATACAATGCAGATTATTAACTACAGTCATCATGCTTGTTATGGCCAATCAGGTAATTCTCATCAGCACCATAAAAAATGAGAGTCAATATGATGACTTAAATGAATTCTAGCAATTTGAAGTAACAAGCTGCCACAATTTTCTTAAGTACTTTCTTTTATTATAATATTTAAATTATTTAAAATCACTTAATGATTTCTAAAAGTACTTCATGTACTCAAATGTAACCATCTCAATATATAAGTTATATATAAACTAACCCATTAAACTTGAAACTAGCATTAATCTCTTTTGCTTTTTAAATATGTAAATGCTGATGAAAAGTTACAACCCAATATTCTTTCTCAAGACAGACAAACCTAATTTCTAATTTCCTAATATTGGGCTGTAACCCTGAGATAAGAGATAATGAGATTACAAGCTGTCTGAGGGCAGGAAATGACTTAGTCTTCAGAAAACACAGCACAATCACAGGTTTTTAGCAAGTGGAAAATTAATGTTTATTAAATGAATGATAACCAAAAAAAATACGGCATATTACCAAAAAGGATTAAAAAGCTGAGCTCTTAAACACATCTGAATTTTAGACCTGATTCTTTTACTAGCTGTGCAACTGTAGATAGGTCATTTAAGCTAAGATTCTTTTTCCTCCTCTTTAGCGGACGTGTAAACTCTTGTACAGGATTGTTGGAAGTTTTAAATGATGTAGGACATGTGAAGTTTCTGCAAGTGTCTAGCTAATGGGAAGATCACTAACTATTTTTATGTTCTGCACATTTCTTCTCCTAACTTCCTTTGAATTAGATCACTCACCTTCTTTCTCCTGTCCTCCATACAAAGCAGATAGTAGCTAACTCTCCTTCTTCCTAAGGCTATAAAAGAAGCTCTTCTCTCAACCACAACATTCTGAAGTAATTCAACTTGAAATCTCCTGCCCTCGAATCTTTTTTTCACTAAATAGGCATTAAAGAGCTACAGAATTCCACCCCTGGACAACCTCACCTCATCTGTTCTAATCAGGATATCCAACCTGATCATTAACGACAGTCAATGGATCCTTTCTTTCCTATGGAATATGTGATATTCTGGTTTTCTCACAAAGGGTAGTACACATGTGCACATTAAAGGTATGGCCCTCAAAATTTCCTCAGTATTTTCTCTTAAAAGAAATACATGTGAACATTTTATTGTATCTATTCTAGAATATCTACAAAACATAAATTTTATGTTTTAACAGGAAGGGACCTTAAAATATCTTGCCTAGCATGGAAAGAACATACTGAAAAACTCAGGAGAATTCCTGCTCTTGTCACAGTCCCATCTTTAAAATGTTGAACATAAGCACATAATAACTTCGAGGGATTTAATTTTATCATCTGTAAAAGGAAGGGGTTGGATAAAATGGTCTAGAAACCTTACAATTCCAACCACCTTGTTTCTTACAACATCTCACTAAACTGGCCTAGAAAAGTTAAACTAATTCCTTCTCCTCACTATATAAGCTGCTGTAGATGACACAGGCTACCTTAGTTTATATTGTAGTGTAATTCCATTCCCACTCCTCTTCTCTAGTATACAAGAATTCCCACAGGGGATGGGCTATTGAAATACCACTTATCTATACCATGTAGTACCTCTAAACATAAATCTATTTTTATCCAATTTGAGAAGAAATGACAAATAAAAACTTTTTCCACATCTTGCTTTTCCATTACCTGCATTTCAATATACCGAAGGTCGCTTTTTTTCTTTTGTAAATCTTCCAATAGTTGCTGGTCTAAGGTTACATCTGGTTCATTTTCTTGCAAGAGATATTCAGAATCTCGGTCAATATATTTGTCCCTGATTCTAAATGTTCTCTTTTCTTGACTTATTAATTTCTTTTCCTGGTTCTCAAGTTTCTTCTCTGAGTTGGGTTTGTTCTCAGGAGTTTCAGTACCATATCTGTTTTGACAAAATAAAAAAATGATAAAAGGTTAAATGAAGAGCCGCTCAAGCCCTGAAACAAAACAATATGCCATCTATTTCAAAATCACCAGCTTCAATTTTTTCTTAGATCAATTAAGAAAATAGATTCTTACAATGAATTCAAGATTTCCCTCCCTGTAAATAGGTATTACCAGGTAAGTTATTCCTTGTGATAGTTAAAAAAATTAAAATTCACACAACAGTCATCCCTCCATTGCATTGACTTAACAGTATTTTTTTCTGATTTTCTGAGCTTTGTTTTATTTCACAACTTCATCTTCTTCCTGCTACCCTTTCTGAGGCTATAAATGCGAAGCTACATTACACAGTTCCAGAAAAACCTCTACTAATTTTTCCTCTAAATGATACAGCTCCTGTGATCATCCTAAAACAGCAACAATTCAACTTCTTCCAGATCTCTCCCACAGGAGAATTTTGGAAATACAAAGATGATGAGTAGGAAAACAATAAATAATAACTTAATAAATCTCAAGTCCAAATAGACTATTCTTACCATTTGGCTTTCTGTGTAATGCATATATTGTTCAACCTCTCAGCAAATATGCTCAGTCTACATAAGAAAAAAAAACTTACTTCAAAGTTGAATTTCACTTACTGATGAGTCTAAAGATATTATCTTTATTACCATTCTTTCCCTAGCCAAAGCTATGAAGAAGTGTTACTCTGTCCATTCTGTCAAAGAACATGTTTTGTTTTACCCGTGATCTTCAGGAGCAAACCAGGAGATCTGTGCTTCTGAGTCTTTACCATTCTTCGCTTGGACTGAATGAAGCAGCTGCACAATCTGTTCTTCTCGCCGTTCATCCATGTGTACTATAGCTCTCTATTTTGTGCAAAGCAAAAAGTATCCTGATCAACATTAGAAAGCATGTGCAAAATTATTTCACAACAAAAAGGTAAATACATGTCCAACAAACATATATAAAATTTAAATTACCCCACCCTTGCCCTCTAGTCCAATTTCACTTCATAAACCTAACGTTAACATTTTTGCATATAGCCTTCTAAACCTTTTTCTGCTATGTAGCTATAAAATTACCTCTAATATGACTGGCAAAGAAAGTACATTTATGTCCCTTATTAATAAAACTTTGGTTCCTTATCTTCTACCCTCTCACATACTGATTATTATCAATTATTCCCTATCTTAATTTTCAAAGATACAATTAAAGTTATTAAAACGCAAATGTTTGGTTAAAAAAAAAAAGCCGAGTTGAAAACTGGAAATATTTTGGTTGCAACAAGCATTTTAAAGTTCTTACACTAAAAGGATGAATATTTGGGGAAGTAAGAAGGCTGAGTCGAGACGGAATAAATAAAATTGATCAACACTCATGCAGATGGTCCAATGTGGCAATTATGCAGTTGATTCATAGAATGAGAACAACAACAACAAAAAACCAGAGAAGACAGAAGTTACACCATACACAGTAAAAACAGGAATTTCTAAAACTGTTCTTTTATAGCTGTACATTATAATTAGTTGAATTTTTAAACCCAGTAGTTAAGACAGGGTAGATTTTGCTTTAAGTGTGCAAACAGGAAAGATGCTCAAGGTATTAAATGAAAAAAAGCCAGTTGCAGAAAATATATGCAGCAGGATCTTATTTTCATTATTATATTAAAAAAGGTTAGTGACTTTACGTTCTACATTTTTGCAGTATTTCTTCCAGACAGATTTCTGACACATGGTAGATGCTGCAGTGAAGTTTGTCAAATGGATGAATGGCTGAATTTATCTTTTATAATGAGCATGTGTGACTTTTGTGTTAAAACCGTTTTTCTCTTTAAAGAAATACACAAAAAGAATTCCAGAAAACTTCTGCAACTTATTGAAGAGTTTACAAAAAGCATCATTATCATGCAATTAAAACTCCAATATAGTAAAACTCTGGCTGATAGGAAAGCCTTACGAAATTACAGGTTGCAGCAAAATCTGCTTATTGACAGATACTAAAGCCCCCCTCATTTTTTTTTTTTTAACCTTACAGCATGAAAATCTTTTTAAAGGGTTTCTGTATCAGACTAACGTATCTCTTCTTCATAGCATGGGATATACTCCACTAGGACTAGGAGCTTGTACCTGGTTTCTCCTAGATTCTGCCCTACGAATCTTTTTTACCTCTGATGATTTTAATCTGTAATCATCTGTTGTAAAAAAAACCATTACTGTGAGTACACCAGAATCTGAGAGTGGTCTTGGGACATCCAACACAGAGGATCATTATTAGAACATTTTTGTCCCATACTTTAAATTCTGTAATGCCTTCAGCACTTGTTAACATTTATTGCTCTGTGTACCTACATGAGACGGTTATCAAGTTACGTTTTTTCCTGGCAGTTAGAATCTACAGTAACACTTAATGATTACAGACTACACTGGGAAGGAAGCCCCAGTACATAAAGTCATTATCAAGCAAAGTCTTAGTTTTTCCAAACACCTCAAGGGCCCAAAGGCACTGTTTCTTCCATTCAAAATAGGAAAGGTAAGATTAAGTACTTTTTATCTGAGGAACAATTTATTTCCAACTGAAATTCACACTAAATCATTACTTCAACCAATCAAAACCTTACATTTTGAAGTTTTTGCCTCTACTAGAAGAACAAAAGTTCTCCTTACCTTGCTGTATGAATTTTAGATATCCACAAAAATCTGGATGATTAAAAAATGAAATAGGCCCTAAAAACATAATTTATAGTTTTTAATGAAAACACAATTTATACTTTCTGTGTTTTTTTTTTTTTTTTAAAGATTTTATTTATTTGACAGAGAAACAAAGAGAGAGAGGGAACACAAGCAGGGGGGGTGGGAGAGGGAGAAGCAGGCCTCCCGAGGAGCAAGGAGCCCAATGTGGGGCTTGATCCCAGGACTCTGGGATCATGACCTGAGCCGAAGGCAGACGCTTAACGACTGAGCCACCCAGGCGCCCCACTTTCTGTAAGTAATTTTTAACAAGGTTCTTCCCATGATGAGGCTCCACAGGCTGTGGGCAGTGGAGAATTTAAGAGTGCCAAAATTCCAAACCTGGATCTAGCTTTTTTTTTTTTTTTTTTTTGGTAGGTTACCTCCTCCTAGCCTTCTAGCATTATCACCCTTCACTCTACCTCACCCCCAGCATGGAGAATCTCAGTCACGTTTTGTGGTTCATGTCTATTTTATCATAGTATTTATTTTGTTTTTCCCTTTTTTGGATATCTTAAATATTCTTGCTGCTTCGAGTCATAAATCCCTGGCAGAGGAGACCCTCTATGATTTCTAGCAAACTGTCTATGTTTATCAGCTTCTAGTTATCTGCAATTTTAAACCAATACCACCTTTCAGTTCACCCTCAACATTTCACACACAGTATTTCACAAAGAAAACAAAAACCAAAGAAAGTCCTTAACTGCCTGCCACTAAACCTAAACCCACAAGTATCAGAATCTTTTTGTTCTCTTCCTTCCTGTTAAAAGGGAAGTGGAGTCCGTCTTCCTGCTTAAGGTTACCTTTCACCTCCTCAGGGCTAATCCTTCTCTTGAGATTTACCTTCCTTTCCTAAATCTCTCTCTGGTAGTCATTATTAGCCTGCTGATCAATATTCTGGTTTGCCTCCTTCCAAGTATATGGTAGAACTGCATTTTTCCACCCATTAGTTAAGCATGGACATGTGGCTTACTGGCCAGAGAAATGTGAATGGGAGTCTCAAAGAATCAGGGCAATTTACTGTATTCCCTCCCATTGCTACCAAAACCTGCTGTTTTCCAGATGGGTGGAGCTCTGTGAGCCAGGAGGACTCTCAACCTAACTCGCAATGGACCAGTAATGTGAGTAGAAAGACCAACCTTTGTTGTTATAACCCATTAGGATTTGGGGGCTGCTTACTACTACAGCATAATTTAGTCTACCTGATATGTTTCTTCTCCACTGACTCCTTACCACCAGTACATGAACAAGAAGATAGTCAAATCTCTTTACTTTTTTTTTTTTTTTTAAGATTTTTATTTATTTGACAGGGAGAGAGTGAGAAAGGGAACACAAACAGGGGGAGTGGGAGCGGGAGAAGCAGGCTTCCCGCCGAGCAGGGAGCCTAATGCGGGGCTCGATCCCAGGATCCTGGGATCATGACCTGAGCCGAAGGCAGACGCTTAATGACTGAGCCACCCAGGCACCCCAAATCTCTTTACTTTTAAACAAAAAATCCTCTTTTGAATTCTCCCAACCCAATCAGCTACTGCCCTTTATTCCTCCTCTTCACAGTAAAACTGCTTGAAAGTACTCCACTTCCTCTCTCCTTCGCTAGCCACCCCACTGCCATCTGGCTTTTACCTCGGACCGCTCCACAGAAAGGGATCTCATCAAGGTTACCAATGACCTTGTTGCTAAATCCAATACATTCTGAGCACTTACCTTATTTGACCTCTCTGTGACATATGCTAATATTGACTACTTTCCCTTCTTTGTATACTCTTTGCTCCCTTAAACACTGCTCCTGGATTCCAAAACAACACCCGTTTCATTTTTCCTCTTCTCTGGCTGCTCCTTCCTAGGTAAGAATCTAAGGATCTTCTCTTACTCCTCTCTTAAATTTTCTTGTTATACATTGAACAACTCTTGTGATCCACAAGCTAGCAACACTGACACCATCTGGGAGTCTGTAAGGAAAACAGAATCTCTGGCTCCACTCCAGTCCCACATTTTAACAAGGTACCAGTTGATTCCTAGGCACATTTAAGTTTGAAAACAATGCTCTGAGGCTGTATCAGCTTGGCTCCTGAGGTTCTGCAACAGCTTTTCTTCTTGTACCCAGTGTTACCCTCATTACTTTGTAACCTTCCAACTCCTGATCACCCACTGGTTTTTTGTGTCAGACTATATGTAATTGTAACCATGCCTCTGGTTCCCATTAAAAACCACCCTTTTAGTTAAAAAAAAGAAAAAAAGAAAACAATGGTCTATAGAATTTAGGCTGCACCCACATCAGATCCACATGGCCTTCTACCTCCCTGAAATCCTTGTGCTTTTTTTCATAGATTTTATTTATTTTAGAGAGAGAGAAAGTGTTCACACATGGGGGGGGGGAGAGAAATCTCAAGCAGACTCTGAGCTCATAACCTGAGCCAAAGTCAAGTCAGACGCTTAACCAACTGAACCACCCAGGCGGCACCCCGAAATCCTTGCTTTTATGCCCTATAACAAAATCAAACCCTGTCCTTAAGCTGTCCATCATCTTCCTTCATCAAGCCTGTTCCTTACATAAACATGTCATTTATTAATACTTGCTTTCCCCTTGCCTCCAGACAAAAGCACTTTTGAATCTGTCTCCTAAATCACTTTAATCTGTCACTCTCCTCCATCTCCACTCCCAATGTCCTAATTCAAGCTATCATTTCTCACTTTAATTACTGCAAAGGCTACTTAACTGGTCCCTGTCCCAGGACTGCCTCTTTTCAATTCATTCTCTATACTCCTGCCACAATGAATTTAAACACAAATTCAATCATTTCATTTTTTTTGCTTCAAATGATTTAATGACTTATAGGAGTTCTTACAGGAAAGTCAATGAATTTCAAGGCCCTGCTTATTTTTCTAGTCCTAAGCTTTTCAAATTGCTGCTTATAAAGGATCATGACCAGTATTAATAAAAAAAAAGCAAAAACAACACACCCAGAGCAATATACAGATAATTAAGTATTATTTTATGACATTTTTTGTTCAGTTATACGTATGTGTGTACTGCGTGCAAATTAACATATATTCCTTTCTGTGGGATGTGGTCAACAAGTTTGAAAGCCACTGCTCTACCTTCATCTCACCACACTAAACACCCTATGCTCTATTCTTTCAGTTCCTTGAACACATTCCTCTTAACCTCTAAATTGTGGCACATGCTGCTACCTCTGCCTGAAAATCCCTTTCCAAATCTCCCAATTGCAAACACACACACACACACACACACACACACACACACACACACACTTTGCTATCTTTCAACCTTCAGCTTAAGGGTTACTTCTTCTGGAAAACCTAGAATCTTCTTAGTTTGAGTTAGGTGATAGCCCATATTCTCATTATAATACTTTAACATTGTATTCTATCCCTCTAACAGCCCCTAACACCACCATTTCTGTAAGACAGTGATTATATTCTATTAACACAGTGCTTAAGATAATGTCTCAAATGTTTCAGATGCACAAAAAAAAAAGGAAGTTGAAAGAAGAAGAGCACATTGTTACAATGCAACAACTTGGTAAACACAGGAATTACTTAAAAAGTATTTGAAAGCTAAGGAAATTGACTGGGAAGCAATCACATATGGCTGAAGGTGGTCCAAAAAAAAAAAAAAAAGTAGGATAAACCAATCACTGAAAAATGGTCATGTTCAGATTGAGAAAATGGAGACGCATTTCAGAGAGAATGGTATGAGACCTGTAATACAAAACAAAAATAGAAGTATATTTACAAAAGCTATAATTACATTATATTGGGGACATGGGCTCAGTACACAGAAGGAAACCTGGAATACTGAAGCTATTACTAAGATTTCCTGTAAAACATGTTAGGATGCAGCTCAAATGTATTAAACTCAGAAGTGATCTGGCTTCCAATCCCAATTGTGAGCTAGAGAATGAGATGATCTAATTTTTGCTTTTGAAAGCACCATGAGTGGTTCTACAAAGGACAGACTCAGTGGAAAGCAGGAGTGGAAGCTAGAAGATTCGTTAAGAGGCCAAGAACACTGAACAAAACGGTGGCTTGATCTGTGGGGTAACTGCTGTGGAGACAAGTGGTTAGATTTGGGATAAACTAAGAAGGCAGAGCACACAGATGTGCTGAAATGAAAGAAATATCAAAGATAAATCCAGTTTTGGCCTGGCAAGTGAGTAAATTGTAGTAACATTTACTAAAATAAAGTTTGGGGAGAGGGTAGAAATCCAGAGTTCCATTTACAATGATCCATCACACAACTAGCTTCAGATGGAAATAATAACGAACAATTTTTCCTGATTAAACTTTCCATCTGTTTACGTCTTATTTTCCCAAACATTATATTTCCCAACATCATATTTCTTCAGATCCCCATGGCAACATGCATAACACCTTGTAGGAAACAGGGGCTAAATAAAATTTAATGAAGAATAACTTTCTAGTTACTGTGTACATCCTTTTATAGCAATCAGTCTATTATTCTTCCAATTTTAAGATGACTTAGATAAGCTTCCCTTCATTTAAGAAAAAAGTCTGCTCAAAGAACAAGTTAATTTTGGGCTGACAAATATATATACATAAAATATATATAAATTAAAAGAGAAGAATGTGGTAAGGTGTGAAGATAAATGGATAATGGCCAAAAAACACTTTGATGAAAATGACATGAATAAAAGAAAAATAAAGAAATAAAAATGATTAAGAAACAGAAATCTAAATGAGGATTTAATTATCTATCTGTATCTAATATGAAGGATGCTTTTAAAGAAATTACTAAAAAGATGTCTCAGACTTATAATAAGAAAACTTCTGTTTAAAAAAAAAGATTAAAAAAATTAAAGTTCCAACCAAGGGAACTTTAATGTTTCCCTTACTACAGATCTTCAAGATACAAATCAAATGGGCAATCACCAACCTGAAGAGCCTAAATCAGATCATCTTTTGAAATTTCTTCTATTTCTAGGATCCTGTTTTATTCTCAAAGAGGAGGTACTAATCAACAGAACTCTCCCCAGCCCAGCACAAAAGCAAAAAAAAAAAACCCCTGCGTCTATGGTTATTTTAATACTAAAAATGAAAGCTAGACTATTCTTCCGAACGACCTACATTCAAAATAGTGCTTGACAGCTTTTATTCTGCGCAAACCTATGTTATGAAGTAGGCCACAGTTTTCGAGCTCTTCAGGCAAAGAATTTAAATAAAAGTGGCCATAATTTTTCTAACAGAAAGGGTAGCCAGGGACACTATGACACTGACACCCCAATAAAGTTAATCTCGGAGAGGACCTGAACTTAACATCTGTTTTGTTCACAGTTCTCAAGTCCTCAAAACAAAATATACACTCAGCTTGCATAAATTCCTAACTGCTTCGGGTCAGATGAGCATGGGTAACGAAAAACGACAAAATATCCGCTACCGGAAGTTTTAGCAGAATACCTTTCCACACTTCACACAGCATATGCACCATTTTAAAAAAAAAAAAAGCAAAGAAAAGGTTACGGGCGGCGGAAGAGGAAAAAATGTCTGTCCTGTCTCATCCCTCCCCGCTATCCAGTCTCAGATTTACCTCCTGCCTCTCCGCTTCCTTGTTCTTCTGTCCCTGTTTCTTCGCATACCACAAGCCGATTTCGCGGCCTTTCAGGTGCCCGGGATGTCGGCCGCGGCCGCCTCGACCACCTCCTCCGCCACCGCCACCGCCGCCGCCGCCGCCGCCTCCGGAGCCTCGGTTCCCTCCATGGCCTCCTCCATGGCCCCCCCCATAGCTTCCTCCGTAACCCCCGCCGGAGCTGCGGGGCCCGCCATCCCGGCCCCAGTTCTGATGGTAATCATAGCTCATTGTCCCAGCGGACTACAACTCGTGAGAACCTGCAACCGCTAGAAATGGCGCCTGGGCCCGGAAGCGGGTGCACGTCCCCTTCCGTTTTGCTTCCGGCGCCCAGCGCGAGAGGGAGGGCCGTTTGGGCGTCACAGCAGCTGCTTCCGGTGACGTCACGGGCGGACGACCTCGGTGGTGGGGAAGGTGGTTCAGGTGAAGTCCTCTTTGATGTGCCTTTTGTTGTCTACCTTTGTACCCGTGGACGGAAAGTGAGCAAAGCCTCGCAGGTTTCCTTTACCTACGCCCAACATGTGAGGAAATGGGTTTTGCTTTTTACTTTTTTATTACCCGTAGTGAAATCCGAAGTTTGCTTCCAATTAGACCCTGGAGAGTAAACGTCTATTGACACAATAAAAGAACCTGTGGCTGGAGGCATTTTCTCCTAAAAGTCTCGAAAGAAATGAGTTTATCATTTTTTTTTAGTAGCTGCATCTTAAAAACAGCTTGACACGTGTTTCAAATAAGTATAAAACTGTCCCTGCCTCTCTTAAAGGATTGTCATTATTGCCTTTATCCAACAGCATAACAAGGAGCATGGCTGCCAAAAATCAAAAAAATGCTCTTAGGCAACTTAAATAAAAAGGCAATTGAAGATTCATATGTTCATGTGAAGCCATTTATTGTTGATTAACCAGGCCACTTAGTGTCTAGCACAGCTGTTTTTGAATAAATCAAGTGATTGGGCCACACAGGCCTGGATGTTCACCAGAGACATCTGGTTCATTTACATATTTTAATTGATTTAAAGGTGCTGGGGATACTGAGCAAGACAAGTGTGGCATCAGCTTTCATTTGCTTACAGTCTTGGAAAGGCAAAAGAAATGACTGTGCAATGAGTTAAGAAAGGAAAATGTTGTATGCTCTGAAGGGGTCCAGACTAAACCTCTGGCATAGTAGTTATTTTGAGCAGAGGCATTTGAGTTCCTGAAATATTTTAACTGCCTAAAAGCAGAGCCTCCCAAAAGAATTCAAAAGAACTCAGTTGTCATAAATCCCTTCCCCTGGGAGAGAAACTGACAAAATTGACTCTTATCACTGGAGACTAGAAATCAGCATCACACTTAAGCAGGAATTGTCACAAGACTATTATATATTCCATCTATTCTCATAAGAGCCCATTTTTCCTTCCTAGAAATTGTTTTCCCACGAGTATGTTTTTCCTCCTCCCTTTCCCCTATTAAGATAGTATATAAGCCCCAAGTTCTAACCTTCTCTCTGAATCACATTTTTATATGAAGTCCCACATGTATGTGATTAAATCTGTCTCTTCTCTTGCTAATCTGTCTTTTGTTGTTTTAATTTTTAGACCCCCAGGATAAACCTAAGACAGTAGAGGAAAAGATTTTCTTTCCCAACAGCCATTAGATGTTACAGCAAAATAATTTAATTTTAGAGTCAGGTAAGTCCTTTTTAAAGAATGAGAAGTTAAGCAGCGACTTTTGAGAGTAGACTAGCCAGACTAATGGGGAGTCAAGAGATTGTTACAGGTGGAGGGAACAATATGTGTGAAGAGAGATGATAAAATGTTGGAGAGTGAGGGGTGCCTGGGTGGCTTAGTTGGTTAAGCATCTGTCTTTGGCTCAGGTCATGATCTCAGGATCCCGGGGTCGAATCCCATGTCGGGCTCCCTGCTCAGCGGGGAGTCTGCTTCTCCCTCTCCCTCTGTCCCTCCCCCTGCTCGTGTTCTCTCTCTCACTCTTGCTCTCTCTCAAATAAATAAATAAAATCTTTAAAATATATATATTGGAGAGTGAGAAAAGTCTACCCTTAAACTTAAAGACTGTTGGAGAAGACCAAAGAGGTAGAAAGGAGCCTAATCATGGAGGACCTTATATACCATATAGAGAACAACAGTAAACTTTAAGTAGGAGAGTGATTATTTTTGGCTGCTTTGAAAGAAAGGGATGGAGGAGGCAAGAGTGGATATGGAGAGACTAGTTAAAAGGCAATGGTTTAGGGGAGGCAAGATGGAATATGGAAAGGACTGGAATTAAGAGATATTAAGAGATAAAAAATGTCAGATTTGATGATTCACTGGATGTGGACAATTAGAGGAAAGGGTCAGATAACTCTTGAGTTTAAGATTTGAATGACTACCAAATAAAGAGATACCATATCCTGAGATGAAGAACACAGGATGAGGAGGATTTTTTTTTTTCGACTGAGGGAAGGGTTGAGTTAATGCATTTAAATAATACATGTGGAGTTTGAGGAGCCCATAAAACATACGAATTGAGATGTCTAGAAAGTGGTTGGTTACATCAGTTAAAAACACAGAGAGAGCAGACAGATACATTTTGGTAGTTCTTGGCAAATATGATTAAGACTATAAGAACGAATAGTTCCAATAAGTATATTGGAATTCATTGGGCATACCTGCTATGACAAGTATTTGAATTATTCAGTAGGTAAGATTGGGTAAGCATATTGGGGATGGTCAGGGCAAAATTTGAAGGAAATAGTGTGGATTGTTAGGTGAGAGAGTTTATGAACTGAATGGTCTCCTCAAAATTTATATGTTGAAGACCTAACCCCCAGGGTAGCTGCATTTGGAGATGGGGCCTTTAAGGAAACAATTAAATGAGGTCATGAAATTGGGGCTCTAATCTTACAGGATAAGTGTCCTTATAAGAAAAGATACCAGAGAGCTCATTCTCTCTTTCCTCAGAGGAAATGCCATGTGTGGACAAAGAAGCTGTCTACAAGCCAGGAAGGGTGCTTTTACCAGGAACCAAATCTGCCAGCACTTTGATCTTGGACTTCAGCCTCCAGAAATATGAGAAATAAATTTCTGTTGTTTAAGTCAGAATAATACCATAAATATATGGTACTTATTTATTTATAAATAGTATTTATTAAACCAGTAAAGTGGTTTAATACCACTGAAACCTGTGGTGTTTTATTAAGGCAGCCTGAAGAGACTAATAGAGTAATAAGACTAATAGAGAGTAAGTGGGGAAGAAAACTAGCATTTATTTGTTGCCTAACATTTGCTAAGTATTGGGCTAGGCAGTTCACATTTGTGGTCAGCAGAATAATGACCCCCATAGATGTCCACATCCTAGTCCCTAGAACTGTGAATATGTTAAATTACATGGCCAAGGGAAATTAAGGTTGCTAATCAGCTGACGTTAAAAATGGGGAGATTTTCCTAGATTATCTGGATGAGCTCTATATAATTAAAAGCATCCTTCAAAGTGGAAGAAAGAGGCAGAAGAGAATTTCATAGTGATGTGATTTGAAGACTCAGGCACCTGCTATTGGCTTTGAAGATGGAGGAAGGGGGTCTCAAGCTATGGAGTGCAGGCAACATCTAGTGCTGGACAAGGAAATGGATTCCCCCTTAGAGCTTCCAGAAAGGAACACGCCCTACCTACCCCTAGATTTTAGCCTAGTGAGGACCCTTACCAAGCATCTATGCTACAGAATTGTAGGGTACTACATTTGTGTTAAAGTTAAGACTCTGAGTTTCTGGTAATTTGTTATGGAAGCAATAGAAAAGTAATATGATATTCCATATTTCGCATAATCCTTATGACAACCCCAGAGACAGGTAGTGCTATCTCTATTTCCTGATAAATTCTGTTATTTCTCTTCACCTCATGTTTGTTAATCCTAAGTAGAATCTTAGTTATCAATAACTAAAAAATAAAATTGCAAATTTTTCCTGACTTCTTTAGCATGAAGTAATATGATATTGCTTGAGGCTATTGCTTTAGGCACTTTAGAACAAATGTCACTGTAGTAAAAATCTGTGCAAAAGGAAGATTTTTAAGGAAAGACCACAAAGATATTAGTGGAAAGAAAAGTATCAGTTGATACTTTGGGTTTTGTTTTGTTTTGTTTTCCTGCTTTGCTTGAAATCAGCAAGAATTCTTAGGATACCTAATGCCAATAAACAAAAGGAGTGACTGGCCCATTATAATTGCCATTGTTACTCTTGCTGATTCTCTGCTTTGTCCTGTGCTCTGGGCAGGCTAAAAAGATGTCTTTCTTAAATGTGCTCTCCACTGATCATGGGCTGGGCACAGAGTACAAAACCATTGCTTTCAAACCCACAGCGTTTGGTATCTAGGCCCACAGGCATGGTCATCCCAATCTGGCCACTTCTGAAATGCAGCAAGGGTGAGCCACAAAGACCACACCACTTTGGGAAATGACCACAGTTTTCCCAGTGTTAAGGAATCTCTTCTCCATTTGCTTTACCCCAACCCTGTGCAACAACTCTAACATAATTTTTCATGCATCTCATGTTCCTGAGGGACTGGGTGGGAATTTTTTTTAGTGTTCCTCTTGGAAAATGGAATCCTTAATGGACTCTTACCTCTTGTTGGTGGTGGGGAGAAGGCATGCTGATAAGAGTAATCCTAGATATATAGGAATCTGGCTGTTTTGGGGTAGCGTAGGGGACATGGAGAAAATGGCTCTTTTCAAATCAAGAAAAACACAGGAGAATTATTAAATAGCTCAATAGAGTATCTTGTCACATAAAATTTTGGAACTCAAATTGGGAAAATTTTAGCTACATTGAAAGAGAATTTGTGGAGAATATTTCCTGACTATAACGGTTATAGTAAAATTATAAATTTACTTAAAATACAACTCAGGTGGACCAAGAAAATGTAGGGTTTCATTATTATAATCATCATTATTTATTACTGATCTAATGTCTAAATTCCCTTCTTGCCAGGCAACAATAGTGGAAACATCTTAAAATTGCTAGCTAATTTTCCTTATCTCAGGTAATTATGAAATTCTTCTATTAGGCTTTTTTCTCTCTTTCTTCCCCCTCTCTTAATGGGAAGACTTAATAGCTGGGGGCTGGAATCATTTGGAGACCTCTTCATTGAGAGAGGTGGCCATCGATCCTGGTTTTTGCCTGGAACTGTAGCTGGCTATGGGCTGGAACACTTATGTATAGCCTCTCCATTTAGTTTCTCTGTGTGGCCTAGTTTTAGCCTCCTCACAGTATGGCAGCCTGGTTCCAAGAGCAATTGTCACAGAACAAGGTGGAAGTACCTGACATTTTTAG